CTCTAATCTACCAACCAAACGCTATCCCGCAGAACCGGGACTAGCACCAATCTACGACTCTAACTACTGGTGGTCTTCATCGTCGCCGTCGACGCCTGAACGCCACCCAAATATCTTCTCGGTCGCCGGCCGCCGCGCGAAACTCCTTCCGCGCGCGCGCGGGCTCGCGTACAGCAGGGGATGACGAAGTGGCACTGTCCGCGAGGGGGTGACTCTTGGGCAGCACACGCTCCGCATGCATGGAGCCCGCTCCAATCATACAACTTTATAATATAATAAGTAAAAGGCACAAAATCCAGATTCTCATGTAAAAGCTAGATATAAGCTCTTACGTTGCTTCGCGCGGGCAAAGTTAAAAATTCCGGTGTTCCTATTACCGGCCCCTCGAAGTAGATGTTAAATATTGCTAGTGACCATCGATCGAAAACTCGGTCGACCGGAATTCGGCTGGAGGTTTCGGTCGCTGTTCCGGCCCAGTTCCGGCATCTCGCGCATGCAAGGCCCGGGCTAAAACAGCAGCGGATGGCGACCAAACTTGGTATGTAGCCAGGAGACATCAAGGCCAAACTCTAGCAAACAACCTGGTTACCTTTCGTATAAGTCGATCTGTCCTTACAATATAGGGGGGCCGGTACCCGGGCCGATACTCCTAGGATCCTGGGTGGAGAACAACAGGGAGAATTCCGATATACAGGAAGTTTACGCTCTCTAAGCGACGCTCTCCAAGGATGGCAACGATTTCAGGAATTGCAACGATTCCACCGTGGCCACTGCCCTTTGAAGTTTGCACCGGGGCAGCCTCATGGGACAAGAACTCGATATGGGACGGCGGAAGCTCTGGAAGAAAGTTGCCCGGCCGTGACGGGTCACCGGTGCTAGGTTCATCATCTGACCGGAGGGCGCTGAATATAGCCTGCGAAAGCTACCGAAGCAGCCGGTACGTTCCTGGTGGTCACCTGCCAGGCTCCCGGGCAACGCTGACCCAGTCCGGACACCCCCCTGCAGGGCACTGAATTTGTACCGCGGAAACTGGCCGGTACTAACCGGCGTTGTCAGTGCTCACTGCACTCGATGCGAACCGTCGATATTCAGGCCCGTAAGTATACGGACGGCAAAGAATCAAACAGATTGATGCCACGCTGGAAATTGTTGCTACGTCAGCAAAGTCTGCAATCGGACGAGTTTAGAGAGCGTAGGGCTTAGAGAGCGTAAACTTCTTACATATGAATTCGATCCGCAGCATTCAACGCATGCTGAAATTGTGAAGAGAAGTGTCCATTGGCATGGGGCGCAGGGCGAACATTTGAAGCTTTTCTCTTGAGGCCCAGGCACCCAGGGAAGAGAGTCTCGAGAAACCTCAGCTGTTTGCCTACATCCGCAGAACCATGGGGGCTGAATGGTTGTCGGGAGTGATTGTTGCTTGCACTCTACTGTATATCACACAGTGGCGTGGCGTACCATTTGAGGTTCGTGGCTGGGTTGGGGGGAGGGAGGACGAAGGCACGACGAAGAACAAGCTGAGGCTGGAGAGGAAACAGAGGCAGGAAGCTGAGAAGAAGGAGAAGGAGCTGAAGAAAAGGCTGGCTGCAATCGCTACTCAAGCTGGAGCAGGAACACCGAAGGGCCTTGGGATTGGACCATTGCGACTTGCTGTTCATTTGGACCCGGACTTTAGATTGCCCTTCAAGTTCGGTCATCTTAGCGGGCTGCACTTGAGCAATGAGGTTGTTACACCCCCGGTCACACCCACTACTATGCCCCTGGCCAAAAGTCCGAAGGTGCTGAAGTGGAAGGAACGGAAATCGGTGAGCATTTTTATTTGTCAAAGTGTAAGAGTGAAATAAAAGGAAACATGACGTAGTTCTGCCAGACTTTGCAATTTGGAAAACTTGACAACTCTTATGCATATAAGAATGTCACACTTATTCTGAATCTTCCTGGGCGGCTATTGCTCTCCCATCTCTGCTTTTGAGGAGCAACAGCCTGAACAAGAATCTTGTTGTCGACACAAAGAGCAGCTCGATGCATCAGTCTTTGCTTGATGGAATCACGTAGAAAGTGACAGCTTGTAACAAACATGCAAACATGGATGTGTTGATCTTGGGATTGCATAGGAGGCGATGCATATTGCAGGTAGAAAGTGCATTTGGGACAAGGAAATGGATTTGGCGCTTATTTGTGTTCATAAGTATGTGCTAAACAGGGTATCCTAACGAATACATTTCTGCTTCCAGGGAAAGAAGTAGTGGCACGTAGAAGATGATTGTCTGAGACTATTTACTTGCGCTCGTCCCAAAGGTTTGTTCGCACATATTTTATCGGTGAGTCACACTTTCGTTAGCATTCAGAAGGATTGACAAGAAAGTTTCCCACGACAAAGTGCTTGCATGTCCATTTCCTGGAGCGATTCTCATGATATTCAGTGTCTGGTCAATGGACATATGCTGGCTGTATACAAAATCTATCTTGGGGTCACAGCAGAAGTCCACAGGTTTCTTTTTCAGTGCTTCTGATTAAGCATGATAGGGAAATTCTGAAACGGACAAATATGAGCGCGATTAAGTGGGAATTAAATCACCTGCAGCTGTGGTTGAGCGCTACCCTTCATGGATTCTGGATACTCAGGCCACAAGTGAGTCATGGGATCACTATGCTGATATTGGAATGGAACAAGCATATCTTCTGCTCTCGCACTGTGTGAATCCTATTCGCGTGATTGGACAAGGGAACACGTTATCTTTCACAAGTCCGTGCCAAATTGACAAGGAAATCGAGTTGCAGAGCAAAGGTCTGGTTACAAAGTTCAAAAGAGCAGCTCAAAGAAGACAAGGTCAAATGAAGAATACTCTGAACAAATTTAGGAGCAGCTTGTTCAAAAAGCACTTGGAGTATCAAGTGCACAGCTTGTCCCCAGATTTTGTTGTGACTTGCTATGTTTAACCCCAAAAACTCATTCTCAGTATAAGATTGCAACTCAGGTTCTTCACCATGGTCTCCCTTCTTCTGAATGTTTGTCTATTTGTCCATGCAGAGAACGAGGTTCATAAATCGCAAGGTTGGGGTTTGTTCATCGATTCCAATAAGGCGCCTGTTGCCGGTTACTGTCTTTTCTTTGTCTAGCTTGGAGTAAGAAGTTGTAGTCCATCGGCAGATTGAGCATTTGGCTTGCTGGCTTGTCCTCTTAGGAGTAGTCACGACTCACGATCCGAAATTTTGCTCCTTGAGTTTAATACGAAAATACGGGAAAATGATATGAGCTTGGGCCTATCTATCGCAGCACTCATGTGCAAACACCACAATTGATTTCTGGGCCCGAGCTGTTCAAAGCATACGTTGAGTGGCTTTATCAAGTGATCATGTTTGATAAAACAAATGCTACTAGAAGAGGAAAAGCGGGAGGGCTTGCAGTGGGAGTAGTACCCCCCCAATCTTTATCATTAAGAAGGGGGCGAGAAGCATATACCATGAAGATAGAAAATGCCTATTGCAAGTCTAAGTTTAAGTTACCTGGTAGGCAACAAATGTCACAGATAAGAGCCGCTATCTTATGAATAATGCACCTTGCTGTGTCGTATTGTGTCCACAAACCTTTTCGGTCATTTCCTCTACACTTTCAGATCTGTTCCCATAGTGTAATCGTCACCCCCGACCCTTAAGTATGACTAGGTATCCCGTTTGGTATGGAGTGTGGGCGCGGCAGCCGCAAATCATCAATCCGTAGCCCTTTATAAGTCACCTTCAAATATGGCTGAAGTTTTGCCTCAAATGCATTTTAAAACGCTCAATTAGACGTATTGATAAGTAAGCCACCAGCCGCGTGAGCCACCACAGGTCAGCCTGCCCTTCCGCAAATTCTCTGCAAACCGCATTGCGCATATGAGTCATTGAGCGAAAGTTTCCGGTCTGCGCAACACGTAAATAGTCTGACGGTTTTGTCGGATTTTGAGGATATCCAGCCATGCCCGGCACAGCAGGCTGGTATACATGACCATCAATCTGAAATTTGTGCACTAATATACTCATGATGGCATGCAACTTGGCAATCCCTATGCAATCACGTTTGGATCCGAACCGACTTTGTGACTGAATCTCTCGATATCACTTATAACGTACTTTGTACGTGGCCTCGAGTCCGCTTTAGCGTATGCATTGCGGAAACCGTTGCAGTAGTTCAATGCAAGGCATGCATTTGAAGTGCACGAGCTAGGGCGCGGCATGTTTAATTTGATTGCTCATGCAATCGATCAATCCTGCATTCCTAACCTTGGTTGCCATCATCTGCCGCACAAGCCATGTGAGTTTCAAGCCTACGATTAAGTTTCCGCCTACCCAAACCGGCGCTGCAGTCACCCGACTATATGCTTAACAAGACATCCAGATCTTCATAAGCTGTAGCAAGCTGATTGAATATACACTGCTGAAAAGTATTTGGTGTACGAAGGAGACTGTAGCGTCGGCAAGGTGAGTAGGAATATCTGGCAGGTAGCATAGACATGGAGAAAAAGCTCAAGGAACACCCAGAACATGTGTGTGCCATGAGAAGCCTATGGCCGAACTGGCTACGGCGTATTTGAAAAGAGACCATCAGGCACATGATGGCGTGCATGGCACCGTTTTCGACCTGCGCGCAGCCAGGTGTTCCGGCCTCAATCATGGTGTCCATGGGCTGGCACAATTGAAAGACACATAACAAGAGGAATGCAACTGCTTGACCACGTCGTTCAATGACCGGCTTGCTACAGCGATCAGGCGGCTGGCCGCCATCCAACGCAATCGTTGGACAGTCGAGGCGCTTTTACAGAATTATGTAAAGAGGTGCAGGTTGCCTGTGGAGAGTGCAGTCCTACATAGCCTAGTTGCTAAGTTCTTGTTTCATCATAACTCCTTATGACTCTTGAACATGCTTCCAAGGTCCTTGATGAAGGTCTTTCCAAGCAAAACCCCTCCCGATAGCATTTAGCGCCAGGCAGGCTCCATGTCTTCACTATCAGCCAGCTCGTTCCTTCTGCCTGATCACAATCTGTTTGTCGAAAGCACTCGACAACGACGACAGCACCTCCACAAAAACGGAAAGCCCGGCGACACTACCCTGTGTACGAAATTTTCTACCGCCCTTCGTGTATCATGGTCATCTGATAATTTATGCTGGAGCTTCCGCTCGGGCCATACGGCTCGCTCCACGTGGAATGGCTTAACAGCGAAGACGCGCCGGAGAGCTCCGACCCACTTCCCGCGCGCGACGACGCGGCAAACCACTCGCCGGAGTCATTGATTGTGCTATCCTGCAGACGGATCGCAGAACTTACATGTCAGTCAAAAGCGCCTCGCAGCCGTCTGATCTTCATATGATAATCGGAATCTGCAACATTCAGCCTAGGAATAGTTCTAGTGGACAGGCTCCATATCTGGTTTGGGTTAAACTGGGCAAACCCGCTCAGAAACACGTGACCGCATCTGAGTCATCCGTTTTTCGACGTCGAAGAATAGACGGTAGCAGCACGATTGTTGGATGATCCCCCAGCCATTTCACATGTCTGACGCTCCGCTTACCTGGTACGGAAGTTCGACGTCGGACACTGGCCCGCCCTTGGCGAGACTTTCAAGGCCGCGTAGAACGTCCGACATGTCCGGCCGGACGGAGTCGTCTCTGGCGACGCAAGACAGTGCGATGGTGATGAAGCGGGTCGCCGCCTCGGGGGAGAACTGGTGATTGAGCTTTGGGTCGACTGTGACGAGCAGACGGTTCCGGTTGCGCGACACCTGATAAGAGAATGGCGGTTTTGTTGGGTATTGGGTCGACCAAAAAGTTGCTTTTTTAATCCCGCCACTAAATTGTAAGCGTGCTTAGGCGACCAAGGTTTTCTCCTATTAGATACCAATGATTCCAAGAATCTTTGATGATTGGATCTTCGTTAACACTGGGCCCATAATTTGTGAGAGGAACGCTTACCGTTCCAAAAGAAGCGGAATCAGATACTTGATGCAGACGCAGAGTTAAAGAGGAAGCGAGTCATAGGAAAAGGAAGGAGGATAGAGGAATTGTAAAGAAAGATTTGGCGAGTGAATGAGCGCACGTTGCGCCCCGCCTGGACGAGGTTCTCCCGTCCCTGCTTGGTGCGCTTAGCTCTTTTCGTTGATGCGAACGCAGACCCGAAACCAGACCCTTGACGCAAACGAAGGTCGAACGGAAGGGAAACCGGAAACGATGAAAGTGGCAGAGCGGCCCGGAAAGAGGGCACGTGATGTACCGCCTCGACGAGATTACACTTGGTCACGCTTGGCTCTTTCTGTTGATGCAAAAGCAGACCCTTGACGCAAAACGAAAACGAACGGACAGAGAAGGAACGGAGAGAATGTCAGGCAGCCAGAGCGGCGACTCGGAAGAGGCCCCGTGACGTATCACTCAACCAGGTTCTGCTTATTGACGCTTAGCTCTTCTGTTGATGCAGAATCAGATCCTCGTAACAAAAGCAAAATCGAACGAAGAGGAAAGATAACAGGAGAAGATCCCACAGCCAAAGGAACCCGTAGCGTTGCTGCCTCCTCCCATCAATGCAATACCAGGCCCTTGACGCAAAAGCAGACTCGAAGAAACACGGGCGGAAGATGCACAAGATCAGATAGCCAGAGCGACCCAAAAAAAGGGCACGTGACGCACCGCCTCAGCAACATTTTATTCGGTGACGGTTAGCTCTTTCCGTTGCCGCAAAACCAGACCGGAAAGGGAAGGAAACAGAAAAACCGGACAGCCAGGGCAGCGACCCGGAAAGAGGGCCCGTGACGCATAAGCAAAAACGATCGGAGGAAGAGAGGAAATGAAAAAGGATCAGCAGCCAGATTGACCCGGAAAGAGGGCACGTGACTTACCGCCTCGACGAGGTTCTGCTTCCCGCCGTCTGCCAGGCTCTCGAGCGCGCGCAGGCCCGTGGCCAGCTCCAGGAGCACCACCCCGAAGCTGTACACGTCACTCTTGGTCGTCACCTGCGGAGATAAGATTGGAACTTCTTAGTGCTCACAAGCGAAAGCTTTTTCTCATGCGTATAGGGCCAGACACGGACTTCAAGAGTAACGGAAACGAAGAGATTGTGGCGCAGGAGATGACGCATCGGTGAACATCGAACGACTTCAACAATAGGTTGTGACACTCGTATGCTTAGCAACAGATTCTGGCACTTGTTGATGGCTGAAAGGTTAAAGAGGGGTTGCGCGTCAGCATTGCCGACGGATCCGCTTCCAGGAAGCGAAGCGGTTACTGTTCCCTGAGCCCTCTGCCTTTCCGCAACTTCAAGGCAGATTGTCGGAAGCTCCCACCAAATAGGTGCCGCCACAGAAGCGCCCGCGGGCTGAGGCGTGGTCTTGCTCAGCAAATCCGGTTTGACGTCATGATGAAATGGACGAAGAAGATTAAGTGCGAAACCGCTAGACTGCCTTGGCAACAGGGAACCTTTCTATCTAATCGACTAGAACTCTGGCCGGTTCGTTGGGACTCTAATCGGTTGAGTGAAACTTTAGCGACTTGTCTAAAACTGTAGCGGGTTTATCGGCACTAGTCGCAGGGGGCCCTCACCCGACCGGTGTAGACCATTTCGGGCGCCAGGTATCCGTACGTTCCTCGGACCATGGTGCTCTGGTTGTCCGACTCGTCCGCAATCAGCTTCGCCAGCCCAAAGTCCGCCACCTGATGGCAAGCCTTGAAATTTGAGTTCTGTGTAATGTTCGATAATGATTGCTGTTTTTCCGAAAATCAAGCTCACGATGTTTTACGTTTAATAGGCGGATTTGATCCCACCTCTACCCAATCAGCACTTAACTTGCTTGTAAAAATGCTTTCAATTCATTCAGGTTATGTGCATATTGCTCTTGAGATTTGGCACTAGATCCCGTTCACCCGTTCTGAGGTGTTTCGTGATTCTAGAGCATTGTCAAGCTTATGACATTCAAGGTTGCGTACTAATGCACAATGGGTGTTGCTGAAGTATGAGATGAGATGAAAACTTGAAAGCAAGACCAAAACTGAATCCGGAATAAGGCGGTGCGATTGCATCCGGATGCAAAGCGAAGGCTATGACTCGCTTACACAATCTTGCACACGGAGGAGCTGTTCACTGCTGTCTACGACGCATCTGGTTAGGAACCGAAGCAATGGAACACTCCGAGTTACGAATTCATAGGCAAAATGAGCTGAAAGCTGGAGATTCTGTCACGTGCTCTTCGCATAGCGTATCGCACCTGCGCCTGCATTTTGCTGTCCAGCAGAATGTTGGCGCTCTTGATGTCTCGATGCAGAATGGGCGGGTCCGTATCATTATGCAAGTACGAGAGGCCTCGTGCGGCGCCGATCGCGATGTTGAGGCGGGTGTCCCAGTCGAGGGCAGGCTTCGACTCTGCGCCAACAGGGCCCCGACAATTGAGCACGGATGTTCCTTCTCGGTATATGCAGAGAGTGACCGAAGTTCGTACGACAAATTGGATCCGCTTACTTTAAGCTTACTCTCTCGCAACGCAAAAGAGAGAGCAGGTTCGGCATTCTGAGCTTGCTCGGAATCTTCAGATTGTCCGGCAGAGTCCTGCGGTAGGGCCGTTCGATGTGCGCTTCTCGTTCGTTGTCGTGAGAGACCAGAACCCTGTAACACCATTGACGCCTCTGTCCTTCCCCGTATCTTTCCACGACCCTCTACGCACCGTCCTTCCTTTTTGCGACCTGTCTGGAAGACATGGGCCAGCTAAGACATTAGCGGCCAACGATGATTTTCTCTTGTGACAGTTTTGAGTAGAAAGCTCAAATGCCTCACCGCTGCGGAGCGCTGAGTCCAGGTTCCCGTTCTCGGCATAATCGAGCACGAGGAAGCAGTCGTGGTCCGTGACGCAGTACCCGCGAAGCGACACCAGGTTGCGGTGCCGCACGCGCCCGAGCGCGTCGAGCTCGCCCAGCCACTCGCGCGCAGCCAAATCCTGCGAATATATTATATGGTCGAGTTTAGGATAAAAAATCAAATGTGAAACATGTGATGCGTAAGCAATCAGAGTCGGGCGCGCCCAATCCCTGACATGGAAAAATGTGTGTTTTTGAAAGTAGGACCAGGAAAAGAAAATGTAACCAGTAAGGGAAGACTGTATGATGCGTCCAGCTTGCCTAGCCACTCGTGCCCGCCCATCTCCTGCAAACACAAATGGAGATGTGTATGTAAATCTGAAAGTAAATTCAGGAAATGGTAAGGGATAAAAAAAAAAAGTGTTTGATGCGTCCAGCTCGTCAGCCACTCGCGCGCGCCCATCTCCTGAAAGGAAAAAATAAGGAGAATGAAGTATGCTTTTGTGCACATTGAAACGAGGCCGATGTCCCTTTGGCGTCAAGAACATGCCGCATCTGAGGTGTTCTGCATTCAGTTCCGCTTTCATGTCTCGCACGCCTTACGAACTTACACAAATCACAAGGCCCTTGACCCGCAAATTTCGGCAGACAAAGCTCTTGAATGCCACGAGAGCCGTAAAGCATGGAACCCTTGAACTGCAAACCAGCTGCCCACCTTTCCACAGCCCTCCAGCTGTTTCACCGCGAGCTTCGTTCCGTTCGACAGGGTGGTCGAAATCGCAACATCTTGAATTCCAAATCCCAATGAAACTCAGGACCCTAAACTCGAACACGACCTAGAACTCTCCTTAAAGAGTACGAACAAAACTCTCGAATTGCAGTCAGCTGCTTACCTTTCCGCCATCTTTCAGTTGTTTCACCGCGAGCTTCGTTCCGTCCGGCAGAGTGGCCAGATACACCTGCCCGAAGGCGCCCTCCCCCAGCAGGGCCTGCCGGGAGAACCCCCCGGTCGCGTGGCTGAGCTCAGCATATGTGAATCGGCGCCAGTTGCGGCCCAGCGCCTTGTTCGCCTGCTGCTCCCGGTCTGCAGCAGTAGGTTGAACCGACTGATCGATTGCGCAATTCAGTGCTTTTTGAGCATGCTGCCGGTTTAGAAGACTGTGGGACATGTGTGGAGCCCACAAGGTTCTTAGTCCCAACCTTGTTGACTAGATCCGAAACATAGGTAGCAGCAACTGACACCGACTGACTTTTCAAGACCTTCTCGCAGGGTTGCTCCAAAGGACCTGGATTTTAGCCAACAAGGTGTGACTTGGGGAATGCGTGTGTGGTGACTCGGAAGGCGTCTCGGAAGTGGTTCGATGCTTGCGTTGAAGCTCTTGAGCTCCCATGAGAGGGGGCCCCACAGGAAAAGCACGCAGAGACATTAAGATTCTTTGAGGAAGGACGGAGCGAAGCTTCAAAAGAGCCGGGCAAGGAACATACAAGACGTGCAAGGAAGGAGATTCGAGCCCACACGAAGCATCCGACAGTGATCAAAGCACACGAGTCGGTTCCAGAATCTTAACAAGCGTCTGTGCCGGTGCGAGTCATCACGATAAACAACAAATGCAACCCACCTGACGCGGCGGTCGAGGGCCGCGCGCCGCTCCACCTCGAATCCGTCAGTAGCTTCTTGGGCTCCTCCAGCACCGTCGGCAAGACGTTCTTTCTCTTCTTCTTCTTGCAGAAACAGTACACCCCGATGCACACAGCAACTAGAGCGGCGACGATAATGGCCACGATCACCCCGGCAATGATCCCGGTGTTGGATGATCCCCCGGAAGGAGAGGCGACAACGGGATTGACGGGAACGGTGGGGGGGGGGCAGGCGCGGAGGGGGGCAGGGTTGCGAGGACGCCCGTGGGGGAGGGGCCGAGGACGAACGCAATGTTGGACACGTTGCCCCCTGAAAAGGCAAAAGAGGTTCAGTCGGCGGAAATACGCTGTAACGACTAAGCACGCTGTGGTGCGCTATGTATGCGATGCTTTGGCGAAAAGAGGAGAATCCAGGAGAAGGTTGCGAAGTGGTCAGGGCATGAAGAAACGGTTGAGCTGTGGAACGAGGCGACAAAGTGTTTGTCCTCACCCTATGCCAGATCAAATGCGGGGGGGACTCAGAAAGTGCTTCCGGAGCCGACGCTTATAACTCAGTGCGGCGTTGCAGATCCGCAGAAACCATTCAGAAGGACGTCGCCACATCTGTACCGAACCAAAAACAACAAAAAATGTAATCGTCTCACCGTATGCTAGGTTGAACGCGGGGGGGACTGTGAAAGTGCTTCCGGACCCAACGCTCATGACTCTGAGTGCGGCGTCGCAGATGAAGCCGCTTCCGGCGGCGGAGGCAGGACACGTGCACCCGATCGCGAGCCCCGTTACGGCTGGATCGCAAGTTGCGAGCGGGTCACACGGATTGTGGACGGTACAGTCCACAAGCGCGCAACCTGCGGAACGGTTAGAGGTTGATTGTGAGGGTAATAAGGGCCCAAGTTCGGAATGGCAAGGGTGGCTGCGATTCGCAACTCGCGAGCGGGTCACACGGGTTGTTGACTTTATAGTCCACAAGCGCGCGACCTGGAGATGAGAAGCGGGTCAAAACGGAGTTGAAATGAGGTTGAGAACAGTTTTACGAGATGTTGACGGTAAGGCTCCTGTGGATCGCAGTGGTCACAGCCTGAAGTTCGAGCAAACCCACACAAAAAGTGTATTAGACTGCTCGAGGCTGTTAAGTTGCTAGGGCGCAAACTGACGACCACTGACGGAACTTTCCGTCAGGCGAATCTGACGTCCCAATGATTAAAACCATCCGACTTCCTGAACATGACTCTGCGACGTCGACATCGGTCACCAGCAACTTTGAGAATGATCCTCAGCCCTTTACATTCCATACGGGCTGCAGAGACAATTTCCATAAGACGCCAGGACTTGTAACCTGGTCAACCCCGGCACACGCAACGACTTTGTTTGCATGCACCTCCCTTGCCGTCATCTACTATTGCCATGCTTGAAAAGCGCCGTGCCGTCGTTCATTTTTCGACGGACCGAAGGAACGGATCAACGGACCAACGGAACCAGCGCCGGAACAAACGGACGAGCCAGCGCCGTGTTACTAGGAAGACGCGTGCCGAACCGCTCATCCAGTCCGCTCGGCCCTGTCAAAATTCATTTTACGGCCTAGGTACTACAGACGAATTTCGAGGTTGTCAGAAGACCCCAGTGCTCACTTTGAATCGGGGATCCCGTTCCCCCGTCTGTCCCTACCCCCGTAGGGACTGCCGTCAGGCTCGGGCAAAACCTGGTAGACGAAGCATTGCCCTGAGTGTACAGATTCGCGGGCCCGTTACCGTCCGCTTGGTTCCGGAGAAACGTGTTTGGGCTGCCGACCGTCGTTGTCCCGTGATCGAGGTAGATGGCCCCCCCCGCTGTCGCGTAGTTTTGCACGAAGAGGTTGCCAATGATGAACATATTTCCAGAGTAGTGGTTTAAAATGGCGCCTCCACCCACCTGGAAAAGTAAGGGATGTAAGCGCAGGATTCTGCATGAAGGTTGGGTTTAAGACTTGACGTCTACGTTTGTCGTCGACTGTAAAGTGGTAGGATTCCTCAGCCCCGAAGTCCAATCTGAGCGCACGCAGGTACACTCTTTCTAGCGAAACTGCGGACGTGGTCTGTGATATTGTAAACGCCTGCGATTTTGAAAAGGAGCCGCCGTCCATCTGAGAAAAAAGAGGGGTTCAGAAGTTGCGTCGGTCTTTTAAGCTTGAACGTGAGCTCTGACAAGATTGGTATGTTGTCCTTCCCTGGTTGCGTGGTTCTGAAAGCGAAGCCGTTGCCAGTAAATAACATGGGGCAAAATTTGTGCTTGAAAAGGTGCACGGGCTCGAAGTGGGCGGGAGTTTCTACTTTAGAATCCGGCTTTCGGGGCTCGTATGGCAGATATGCTTTCTTCTTGTGCTCCTTTTTCGAAGAGCATTTACTAAACCCGCATTCAAGACATTTCCTGATCGAATCGATATAATTGGCAACCACCCGTAGTAGAAGCAACAGGGGCATGTACCAACGTAGCTTGACGTGGTGGTTACAGAAGGACGCCAAGGCAAGTTTACGTGTCGCACGTTCTCAAAACCAACTAGCGAAACGTAAGAGAAGCATAAGTCAGTTACCGGTGACGTGTTGTTCGCGAACGTGTTGCCAGCGATGATGATAGTGCTGTCGTACTTGCCGGGGTTGTCGTCGGAGAAAGCGACCACCGCCCTGCAAAATCAGTCGGGCATAGATTTGAGTATTGAATTACTAGTATTAGTACTATTATTATTAGTATTAACTATACTCATTAATTACTATCATTATTATTAGTAATACTAATAAATCACTATTATTTATTATTGTCGATGATTATTGTTTATTATATCATGCACTATGCATAACTATTGATATATACTACTTCGCTTTGGTCGAACCTGGCCAAGACAAACAGCTTCCATTTCGGCTGCGGAAAGTCGTCACACAACGGCTGAGAGAATGAACACGCTCGAGCAATAACGTTAGTCTCTAAAACGTTTAGCTGTACGACTTTCGAATGATGCACTACCGTGCGCACCGGCCAGGAATCAGCATCTGTCGAGATCTGACGCAGGTGATTTTGCCAAGTAGCACGAAGAGAGCTTGAGCAAAAGTAGTGCCACGACTTCAAAAAACCGGTCGACTCACCCGCCTCCAAAGCCCAGTGCGCGATTATACATGAAGAGGGATCCCTGGATCCTGGCCTGTTGTGATTGGTACAGCCAGAGGGCGGACCCGCGATCCTGCGACGCAGGATCGTTCCAAGTCTAAGCAGGGGTTAGGGTTTACCAGGGCTCTCTGATCTGGACAATCTGATGGCTTGTGGTGCCAGGAAGCTTTTACAGTTACGCAGGGCGCTACTATGACTTGTGGTCATTTTGGGTACCACTTGTTCTTGCAGCCACGTTGGCACAACCTCTCCAGAGCAAGTTGTGTAGGTCGAACTGAAAGGGTTTGGTGAGGCTTAGAAGGGTAATGCACGAGAGCTGGTTGGCAGGACAGGCTCGAAGTGGCCAGGATGAGCGTAAACCAATTGCCGTCCCAACCACAGGATCAGACCGGGATCGCCTTCTCCCGAGCGTCTGCTGAATGGCTCGCAGTCATGACCCTTCATGGATCCCTTTTGCCCCCCTCAGACGAATTCCAAGGAATCCCGCCCAATCAAGGGGTTAAAAGCTCTCACAAGTGTTAGCTTATCCAACAATAGGGGTCGTCATTCAACACAAAAGAAGGTCGCAATCTCCGTTGGAAAGCCCTGTACAACGACTCAAACTGCCGACCGTGGCCGCTCTACCTTTTTGGAAACTCCCGAAACTCGGGGGAAAGAAAGACCGTATCAGCACCGTCTTCGCTCGCGGAGGGACACAAACGGAAAACATATAACGTAATTCAACAACGGAACCCCTGTTTGTACAGCTTGAACCTTGAGAACCCCTCGACTTACATACTCCTATACTTTAGGTAGGATAGTTTCTAGGTAGAATAGTAACAGTTCCCGGGTCAAAACAAAACTGAAAACCTAAACGGACAAATACACCCGCTCCGCACCCGTACCCACCCTGACCCCCAAACTAACCCCACCCGCTCGCCGGGCCATGACCATATCCTAACTAGGACTATACTACCTAAACTATAGGTCTATTCGACTTACCCGAGCCGAGTTGTACGAGAAGTTGCTGTTCCTGATGGTCAGAGCGGCCCCCGTGGTGACTGAAAGCCCGCCGCCATACATCGCCGTGTTGTTGAGAAAGAGGCAGTTGGAGATTGTGGCGTTTGATCCAGCATTGACGGCGCCTGCGGGCAACGGCTGAAGAGTCTCTGTTCCTAGATACTTGCCTACATTGAGAGTCGCTCAAAGGGGGGCGTTAGAGGAACATGGCCTGCGCTTTGCCGCTGATGCCGCCTGGCCAACCTGGTGAGACCCAGGTTTCCGACGACAATCTCTAACAAATTTTTCTGAATAGACGCACGTCTAGGTTCTGGCTTTGCATATAGCATCGACGGCACTTTCGCCAAAAGGTAGGTGTCTGTTTTAATTTGCGAGAAGAGGTAGAAATCGGTAAGGAATGACATGAAAAGTGGCGTGACTTGGAGAGGACATAAAGGCTAAGAGGAGAGGTTTGACTCGGAAAGGCCCAAAAGCTCACCTCCACCCGCGCAAGCGCTGTTGCTGGTGAACACAACCGAGTCAGCGACAAGGTTGGTCCCGGGCCCCGTACTGATTGCGCCCCCGTTGAAGTTGGTCAGCCCCCCGGGGCAGTAGCCGGCTGCGGAGTTGAAAGTCGGCTGGGACTGCAGGTGTGAATATGTACCAGGACTTATGGTGTGAATGAGGGATCGAAACACTGGGCGAAGGCAGCACTAGCTTGACAATCCGAGTGTCGTTGCAGCAGCCCAAGAACGCTTGAACTCAGAGATATTGGTTTAGGATTGACGGATGGGATATGGCGTGCGCAAAGAAAGCACGAATTTCTGGGCAATGCCTTGCACGGCTAGTGTCCGTGTATTCTTTGGATCAGAGATCGTTCTGAACTGGGACTCAGGCACAAGACTCACTCCAAGCGATTAGAAGTTGCAAAGAGACCTTGTTTCCAACTTCTTTCAGTCTCCACTCTCGCTTCTTTTGGACACACAAGAAGAGCGACCACTTACGAACCCTCCGTCTAGCCACAGGTTGCGGAAGGTGACGGTCCCGAGGCCGTTCCCGGTTTGGAAAAGTTGGACCTGAAACAGCGAAGAACCCGCTCAGCAGAGTAGAACGAGAAGTTGCAGACTGATGAAAGGACCCCAAAAGGTGCTCATTTGAATGTTGTGAAACGAGCAGAAAACAAGAACGCTGGGAAGTCAAGCTACTTGATCCAAATCTGTGTTCTCTTGAAGAGGGGTCGCAGGATAGTGACATCACCCCTGATACAGATGAATTACAGCTAACAAAGCAAAATCTTGCCAAATCTTTTGCTGAAAACACAAGTACGGGGAATCAGTCAGCACTTAGACTGCTTAAACACCTGTGCCTTCAACGTCTTCAGGTTCAAGGACTTTCCAACGCAAGAATATTAGTTCCTGAGTCCCTGTTGATATAGAACCAGGAACTAAAAGATGAAGGTTTGTGAGAGCTCACTCCTGTGCCAATCCCTGCATTGGAGAAGATGCGGCACCCAGGGTAGGGGCACTGGCCCTCAATGCTGATGGACTGGGAGATCTTGATGGTGGATGTCACTTGAATGTCACTGCATGAAAGTAAGAAGATAGACCGTCCCAGATTGTTGTCGTTCAGTCGCATCAGTAATTGGTACACAAGCGCTGCTTACTGAGCGTTAACCAGCTACTTGAAGGATCCGGTAGGGTAAAGATATGCCTTTGCTTAACATAGTCCTGTCAAAAATAGACTCTTTATAACTATCAAATGACACTAATGCGCCCACTGATGTACCAAAGAAGGTGACCCTGCTTCGGGCTACTACAACCTGGCAAAAACACTCTGCCTGTCCTCAGTCAGGGTACTACTCTAGACTGGAGTCAATGAAACATCTTCTGAGAAAACTCAACTTATACCTCTCCAAGGAATTGAGGGTTTCAAAATTCGTCTCTTTGGTTACCTGGGGTCCCAAAGCATCCAGAAGCCAAGAGCACCAGGGATGCAAGTCAAGTATTGAGGCCAAACTTTTTCCAAGAGGGGCTTACTTTTGTGCTGAAGGAAGGTTTTGTCTTTAAGAGTTAGTGAGTGTTTTTCCAGCCCCAAGGAAATTCAAACCCTAAATGTCTCGAGTAGTACCATCCTCTAGAGACATCACGGAGCACCTTGAATCTAAAGGAAGCAACGCAAGATCTTCACTGTGCATGCTGAAACAGTTAAGAAAGGGGCACCAGGTTCCAAATGACCATATCCCAACTTCTGCTTTGAAGATTCCTACAGACCGGCACATAAGCCAGGCGATCAGGGTTTGGACCAACAAAGAAGCCCTCAGCGCTCACCCACAGACGGTCACAAGGGTGCCAGGAGTGCTGGTAGCCAGAGCTGATACCAGCCCTTCCGCATCGAGCACGCCGGTGCAGGCGCCATCAACTGGCAACAGAATGAGGCACTTTGTTCAAGAACGGATGCACAGGCCTACAATTGTTCCTAGCTTTAGTCTCAGAGACTTGGAACAATTGCCAGCTCCGCTGGACTCGCAAATTGCTGCTGTTTCAAGCGAATTTTCTCACATAGCACTGCCCATGCTTTGTTCGAATAAGCTGATCACTACAAAAGCAATTGCGCAAGTATGTTTGGTGTACGTCGTTTTCCCATTTGGAAACTTGGAATGCCTTATTGAATCGCTGACGTTCCTTGACCGCTTTGTCAGGGCCATGAGCTTTGGAACAAGCGAGCTATCCAGAGAGTACGGTGTCTTTTTGTGGTCAAAGCACCCCGAATGCGCAATGTGTTCATCACAAGCGTGGTTAGTCCGTCACAAAACAAAGCCTTCAACCTCCCAGCCGTATTGACACACCCCTTTTCTGAAGACCTGACTGTGGAGCTGACCACAAACTTGAGTTTTTTGGAATTGCTGCTAACTTGCCGAGCATCTCATATTCCCTACTGCTGCTGTAATTCCATGCTTGCAAGTCACCACTTGCCCCATTTCAAGTGTTACTGAAATAACGGTGACAAAAATGATGGTCCAGTGGACCTTTCCTTTGATTTGACTAACCATAAGGCCCCAAGGGTCTTCCATGCCAAATCTACATCCCTAGATTGTTAGCTACTCACCAGCTGCAATGCCGGCGCTCATGTACATCACAAGGGCTACCACCACATTGTACCAGCCCCTACGACTGGCCTTCCCTACCATTTCTACCGCCTCCATTTGATAAAACTTCAAACTCACACAGGAACCTTACCACTTCACAGCTATAACCATAGCATGAAAGCAAATACTACTCCAACAAAGAAGCGCCGTCCTTTCGTCAGAAGTCAATTTTCAACGAAGACCTCTGTGAGGCTTGAGCCTCAAAAGTGACATCTCAAACTCCACAGCAAGGCGTCTTCTCCACTTTTCTCTCCCTTCGTTGAGCTACAGGCTACAGCTGCAGCAGCCAGTTCTAGCGTCTTCCTTTTGCAATTTGCACCACCATGATTTATGAATCATGGTGACATCACTTATCAAAAGTCAGCTCTGTCCGTAGTGTGTGGTCATTGACTTGCGCAGGCTGAAACCCGGGGGATCATCTCCTGTCTTTACGGCACGTCCAATCATGAAGTTGGCAGTGGGTCTGACCCGGACCGCGCGCGCATCCGTCGTACTTTCATGCAGTTGTGCAGTTGTTGTAGGTACCTAGCAGAGGCGTGCATGCATACATACCGTACTTAGCACCTTGATTAGTGACTCTGCCATGGTCTGTCAACAAGACGGAAGTTGGAACTTGTTTGTTTGAAAAGAGAATCCCTAGAGGATTCTCGAGGCTGGGTATTCCTATCGTTTTCAAGACGATGAAAAGGGAGACGGCCATGGAGCTGCTGAGGGCCAATCGGGGGGGGGGGAAAGCAGCTGCGAAATCCACCAGTCACAGCCAGAGCAGGACAGGCTGAGTGGCATCGTGCCGGGTGTCTACTGATATCCAATTGAGAGATCTAGAGGGTAATGAGCTAAGGAAGAAGGAGAATGGGAACAAGAGTTGCAAAGCATATAGCGAGGGAGCTGTATGATAGCAGGTCCAGACTTGCAAGCCTTCACGAAGTGTCTTCCAGTTACACCACAATGGAGGTCGAAGGAGAGCTCTTGGAAGTTTCTGAGCTGCAGAGGGATGTACTATACCTCGAAGAGAAGCACGCCGAGGCCTTTGACATGTAAGCTGCTATGAGGATGGTGCTTTGAAGCAAGACACCTTGTTGCCAGCCTTTGTTCATTTGAGGACGAGACCCTTCCATACTCTATAGTCCAGCCTGTTGACCTGCAGTATTCACCATGATTTGCGCCGCGTCATGAAAGACGTGTAGCGTTGATGGACGGGTGCCCTACCAGTGAGTGGTAATCCAACGCATTTGAACGTGGGTGGAAAAGTGAGGGGCAACTGAGCTCGATTAGCTGGCAAACATCTTTGAAAAGGTGTACTCTACACCATCTCGGTGATTTCTCACAGTAATATTTTGGCAGGCTGACTACTCCAATGCAGCAAGACTGATATTAACCGCTCGTGCTTGCAGGTCGTGCATGTCTCCCCCGCTCAGTCCATCCCCCATCCTGAGCCCCAACACACCGTCCACCGAGCTCCCCAGCGCATTCCAATTCCGCTTCAAGATTGACACCTCCTCAGAATTTGAGGCTGGCATGCTAGACGCAGCTGACTCTCTGAAGGACAACTTCCTAACCATGAATGCCAGAGTGACATCACCAGGGGCTGCTCGTGTGAAGAACGAGTGGAGCAGAGTCGAGACCGCCGGCACAGTTCATGAGGTGCAAGTAACAGAAGCTAACAGTGGAGAGCAGGATGCTCTGTCAGCAGAGGGTGAAGACTTGGCGCTTCCAGCTGAATCAGAATGCAGCCCCAATGCAATTCTGACAACACTGGAGTATGCAGCATATGCACCAGGAGAGGAACAATCTGAGGTCTCTTCTCCAGGCTCCAATGGCCCAGAGGGCAGACCAGAGGTAGACATAGCGGTAGATAAGCATCCTATTGATGTGACGCATGACGCAGAGGGGAGCGATATCGATCTTGACATTGAAAAGCTGGCCCTGGAGATCGAAGCGCACAACAGAGCGACAAGCAATGCGGTGATGGTGAGCCTGAAGACCAACTAAACGTAGGCCGGCATGCTGACTTCAAAACGCTACTACTGGAGTCCCCTGTTGCCATCATAAAAGCATCCGAGTCTCCTAAACGACATCAATCGATTCCATTTTACGTTTTCTTCACCCCTCTTCAGATTACCTTATAATCCTCTATCCGAAAGCCTTTAAGTTGGTTACTCAGGAGTGAAATAAAGTTATCTGCTGGGGCAGGTACAACAAAAGGTCTCTGTAGAGTTGCAAAGGGACGCCTGCTCTTGAAAATGCTTCAAAACCCTCTGCATGCAGTCTCGCTTCGTGGAGGTGAAGAAAAAGCTTGTCCAGCACGAGCAAGAAACCCTGGAACTGGCAAGGATGCAGCATCAGAAGGAGGTAAGGCATGTCCTCTGATTGCTTGCGGTGGTACAAGCAAACGCTTCCAGACTCCTGAAGTTTCCTTCTTAACTTACGACGACAGTTGTGAAACGGCGTGCACAAGCTGTAGATGCTGTGGGCTTCTAATCCACAACAAGCATGAGGAGGAGCGGTTAAGGACCAGCCTAAGCATTGCTGTGCACTTACGAGGAACATCCTCCAGAGGTCACTTCGGAACAGAATGCCCAAAGTTGGTTGTGCGAACATTGGAAAAGCCTTGATCTTCTCTAAAGCTCGGAGAAAACCGAAGAACGACACTTTTGGTTGGTACAAACTGGTTGCATTTTCTGCAGCTCTCGAGAATGAACGGCGAGATGGCTCGTCTTAGGACGGAACACGACGATGCAGTCAAAAGGGCGCGTGATATGGTTGACATGGCGAACCGAGCCGCTGAGCTGGTGGCTCTCCGAGGCCAGCAAAATGTGAGGCAATCGATCAACGTGATTTCTATTTGGCATCTTTGAAAAGCACCATTTTAACTCAAGCGCAACTCGGAGACGGATTGCAAGTGGTTTAGGAGCAGAGAGCTTCGTGCAAGGAGTCCGGACGGAATCGCAGACGGCGCGCAGAGATACAGTCCTGTGTCTTGCAATGTATTGCGCTCCTTGGAGGAAATAACGATCTGTTCATTCATTCGACTTAAAGTTGCTGCCTACACATTCCGCTGCGTATGCATCAAGCAAGACCTCAGGTCTAGGTCACCTGTCTAAAAACTTGCGAGGTATTCACACGGCAGATCCCTTTCTTGAAGTTGGAGGATGAGCATCGTGGAGCGCTCTATGCAGTTCCGCTGATTTTCCTAGTCTTCTGGATCGCTTGCAGAGGAACACGGCTGCCCTTTGCGCTGTCCTTTGGAAGTGGAAAGAGGAGACTAACTGGCAAAAGTACCTCAAAAGGATGGAAAGGTGAGCTTGCAATTTACGTCTGCATATGCAACCCGACAGCTATGAATTGGAGTTTCAAATGCTGTCCTTCTTTGTCGAAATTGAAGTCATCGGGCCTGAGGCGCTCACAGGCGGCTGATTACACGGCTAGCTCGGCAGACTTGATTCATTCGGCAACACAGGATTTGCAATTCATAAAAGCGGGGTGCTTTTGTTTACAGGAAGGCGACTCAACAATACGAGCAGAACTACCGCCAGCGGCAGCCCTTGCGGAAGTGGAGGAAGTTGACAAAGCTCGCCAAACTGCACATGCTAGAGTTCAAGACCAAGGTGAGCAGACAACGTAGCAACTAAAAGTGACTTTGTTGGACACGTTGCGCAACCACCCAGTTTGGCTTTTCTCCCAAGGTTTGCGGTCCAAAAGAACTTGCCGGGATTTTCTCAGGTCGTTCGTTGAGCAGTCTCCAAGATGTGGGAAGCCTACCCAGGTAAAGGGGAAAAGTTAAAGCTTGCCCCATTGCTTCGTGGAAGCAAGGCGTGACGTCATCAACGTATCAGCCCTCGTTAATAACTGCAGACACCAAACGGTAAAAACCCCTTCAGTCGCTGATTATGCCGGGCGATACTCGGGAAATGGTGGACCGCCTGTGTGGGCGGCAAGTTACAGTCCCCGCTTTTCTCAATGGCAGCAATCTCCGTCGGCGACATCCGCACGTATAGTATCCGGAGAACGTCGAAGCCAGTATCTCTGCCTTCAGGGGCCTCTGAACACCATAGGTGTCTCACATAGGCGGCTGCCTTCTTAGCTATCAACTTTCATTGTTTCTCCAGATGTCGCTCAAGGAAGAAAAGGAGCGCCTCGCAGCCGAAAGCGCTGGCGAAGTTCAACGACTGCATCAGGACGCGGCTGACCTGCGGAGTCAGCTTGCGGAAGAGAAGAAGGCCAGGGAGAAGCTGGAGGTAAGCAGAAGCAGAGAGAAGGCCGCAACCTGGCGTCACCGGACTGAAGAGAATCTCAGTGATCACTGGTCTCTTGAGAGCGCATGCCGTCCTTCATATTGGTAACACAATCCGTTATGAAAAAACGTAACGACGAGAAGACTGCTGCGGCTGCCGTTCAACACCAGCTCTCTCCTCTCAAACCCATCTTCATTTCTGCCTATAGGTAATGTTATTAAGCGCAATGGTGCGAATGAATTTTTTCCGAGGCGAATACAAATCCCGGACACAACCTTCTTCGTTCGGCTTGAACTCTAGTCCTTAGAGAAATTGGAGCACGAAATGTAGAAAGTGTCTAACGCATTGGATTTGTTACGAAATCTGTTGTTTCAGGGTCTCAACTTTAACCCGAGTGTTAACCCGGACGCCTTCGCTTGGTGCAGGAGGACATGAAGCGCGCGTTCATGCGCGGGGTGTGCGCGCTCAACATCGAGGCCCTGGCGATGATGAAACGGGGCGGGCTGCAGGCCGTGCAGGACGACTTCGACTCGCCCAACACCGTCGTGACAGGGCCTCCCCTCATCAAGGAGCACGTGCAGTACTACGAAGAAGTCGAACCCAAGAGGTGCGTTGGGCCACGCTTGGTCAATGGATGCTTCTAGTTTGCTGACCCCGATTGATTTCGTTCCGTGACTGTCGAGGGTGATATTTTCGGTCGATCATGGAAGGAAGCACCAAGGGACTTTCAAACGTTTGCATCGTCTTTGCTTGAACGGGATGCGGTTGGAAAGTCACGGATTCAGTGAGCTTCAGTGATTGATACTCAGCGGACAGCCTCGGTCCTTCTTGCAAACCTCACCTCAAACCCTACTGCCGGCTTATAACCCAATAAGTTGCCTTCCGCGTTAGAAACAATAACTCCTTTCAAACTCGACCGCAAGCGTGCCTGAAACATCTCATCTAACTACAGTGCATCAGTGGAGGCTGCAAACGCGGCCGTCTTCTACCGGTCAACATCTCCGGGAGCAGTACGAAACGCCTCACCGTCCAAGAGTGCCGCCGCGGCCGGCTCCTTGAATCACGGGGAGTCACCTCCAAGGGATCCCCCGCCAGGAGAGTCGGTTGGCCAGGAGCTTGATGCGCCAATGGACGGAACAGCACCGGAACAGCGGACCGTGAGCGAGCAGCTCAAGCGGAAGCTAGCGGCAGTGATGGGTTCGAAGGGCACAGGGAACGGCGCTGCTAACGTAAGTAGTACTTTAGGCGGAGGGGTAGCTTTTGCGAAGAAGCTCGATGCGGTGGTTGATGTTCGACCGCAAAGTCGAGGAAACGGGGGGGTAGTGAAGAATGAGGCAATTAATCAGGGTAGGAGGACGTCGGAAGTGCGGTCGGCTGTGAATGGCGTTCGAGTAGGCGCCGAGCCTCCTCGATGGAATTAACGTAGGGGCAGAAGGGACTTCCAGCGCCTTAAGTATGACTTCCTCAACAACTTCGCTTGGAGGCTTTCAAAAGGACCACAGGGAAACAGCACCGACTTCTCGCATTGCTCTGATACAGTTACCCGAGCAGCGCGTTCTGCTTCTTGCTCAAGCTCTTCTTGACTCGACATCTCGTGCACCAATCCCTATAGCAGAATATGAGCAGCAACGCCGAGCTTTAAGATGCAAGAATGACCATGTCTCAACCAATAGAGCGCGCTCTTCTTCGGCTGCTGCCTTTTGTGCCCTTTGCTGTTTCAGAAAAGCACTTTCAGGCGAGTCTTATGAAGCAGAGTCTTTGACCGTTGGTAAAAGACATTGTTTTGAAGAGCTGTATTGAATTTACTAGAGCAAACTGGGAACATGTTGCACATTGAGTCAGCCATGCACATATTACCTAACGGCCGCGGTATATGCTATTACGCACTGATGGTGTATGATGTGGCGTGTGTCATGCAATATTGAAAGGCTCCGATCTCTTATTTCTTGGACTCATTTCGGTCACCACAACGCTAGCGCTGGTCTGGAATCGCAGGGTGGACTCGTTCATGTTCAGCTAGGTTGGATGAAGCGTGCAGTAGACTGGAGTAGATTCTGTGAGCGCTTCAATCCGCGACGGTATCATCGATCACGTAACGAGCTTCAACGCCTTGCCAGATGGTTGATAAATTCGATAATAAAGGTATCGAAATATGAAAGCTGGTGAGAAAGGTCATTGACAATGATATTGTAGGTATCTTTGACGTCGCAGCTTGCCAAAAAAATATACTGAACGCTTTAGCATGTCCAAGGCTTTGCGTGCTATCATAGGCAGGGGCATCCTTCAAGTTCCGGCCTTCTGCACGCGCCGCCGCCGGCCCTCGCGGCGAGATCATGCGCAGCTAGCCAGCTGCGCATTGCGGCAATTGGTCCGATCTTGTGCCGCCGGCCGCGGCGCCGCATCGGTACGCGGCCGCCGCCTCAATCGACGGGTTTGAGAGAGGTTTGCGCTGTTTCAGGGTCAGTCATGCGCAGATGAGTTCAAATATGGCGGGAATTTGATCAATTTGAGCACGCCTGTGGCAGTTCTGCCTTGTCTTTGGGCATGTCAGTCAGGATACCCCTGTGAATGGAGGCATACTACCGTACCGCCGAGGGAATTCACCACCTTTTTGTGCGAATAATTAATTTCGAAAGATTTCATGTTTCACCTTGGGATTTGGAAATTTATTTTACATTTCGCACAAAACCGCATTCTGCTTTTTTTGCCTGGTATTTGAGCAGAATCTTGCACTTTCCTATTACTTTCTTCATTTCCGTCTTTTCACCCTCAGGTTCCCATTTAGTTTCAAAATTTTCACACTGACCCCAAAATATTTAATTTCAGGTGAATTCCCTTGGCGGTACGGTATGATTGGAGCGCTCAAGCCTCAGCAACATTTGGTGCAGGCAGGGAAAAGCCTGGGAGGAGATTCAAGAGTTGAGGACTTCATGGAGCAGGGAAATGGAGTGGGGAATCGATTTGCGGTGTTTTGAAAAGGCATCATTTTGCAGCCGAGATGTTTCCAGCCGAGTGCCCCAGCCTCAATGAATATCAGATCACGGGCTACTTGGAATAAAGGTGAGGCATGTACTCTGGTCCCCGGAACAGGATTGCCACGTTGTTTGTCTGTTTGTGTGGATGATCCATTTAGGCTGGTCTCGAAACATGCTTGGGTAAGACTGATATGGGCGTAGCTACAAGTTTCAGTTACTCTGAACCACCATTGATTTGCTTTGATAAGGAGTGGGTTGGGAATTACCACGAAGAATTTTGGCATCCGGATCAATTCCTCAAATTGGAGGCCAAGAGTACCGGGCCTGCTTCTCATACATGGACGGGCATGAGGGTAAACCAGTGTAGTGTACAAACCGAAGAGTCCTGTTGATTATTTTTGTGTCCTTTTTAATTTTACCAAAGGTAAACCAATTCGCTCCTTCTCTTATAGCGTGTTCATCTTTCAGCCTGATTGTTTGAGTCATGTTTGGGCAATGTGCATAGTCTGAGTTTGATTCGACCGTTGAACATCACCGTTTGTTGTGATGCAGGCAAAGGCCTCCCCGATTGAAGCGGTGACCACTTCTTTGCGGCACCACTAATCAGCATCAGCCTCTCGCAAACAGATTGTCTTGAATCTTCAGGACTCTGGCCTAGCAGCTCTCGGATGGAGTGTCCTTAGCATCTACAATGGAACTGCATTCCATAGGGGAGAAACCGTACGGCAGAGAAGACGAAGGCCTTCGAAGAACAGCGTTTTTCCCCTATAGGAACACCCAGTCTGAGCAAAGTGAGAGAGGACTGCAAAACGAGGGAGTAACGCCTGTTTCCGGAGGCTATGAAGATGGTCAGACTCCTCTGCCCTCTTTGAACACTTTGCCTGCCCCTTCAAACATTGCCAAGAGTAGAAACCCCCCTTTTGCTGGCCATCCCGCTTTCCCTTCTCCACAGCCCCAAAACGCTCGATCTCAATGGCAAAAGGTGCAAGCCCCTCAGGAAGAGTTGGGGGACGAGCCTCCGGCAAAGGGGGGTAGATTGACAGGGACGGTGGTGCAAACGGCACCCCCCGAGAGGGATGCTTTCGCTGCAGCTGCTGCGGGCCTTGCGGCGGCTCTTAGCCCCCAGTCAGGGGCTGCCTCAGCATTTAGCTCTGCTAACACTCAGATTCTCTCTGGGCTTCGGAAAGGGAGAGCGGCAGATTCTCTGGAGCCCTCCAGCGCTGGAGAAAGCGCCGGTGATATAATGCCAGGCAGGTTTACAAGGTGGGGGAGCGCCAACCAAAGAGGCGGGGGCGCCTATGATGGGGCAGCGAATGTTTGGGATCTGCAGACAGCGATTGGACAGGGGATGCTAACCGAGTGGGGAGAAAAGAGGGGCTCGGCAGAGGAAGGAGTGTTGCAGAACGACGGGCGGAAGTCCGCTTCCGAGCACGATAAGCTGAGGGGATCCGGGGAGGGCGGGGTGCCTGATTGGGACGCAGCGTTGTTTGGGGAGTATCGGTCTGGGCGACAAGAGAGCAGGAACAACGCTGCTTTATTGGCAGGTGCGCCTGCGTCGGACTCCGCCACAAGAGCAAGAAATGTTGGGGTATTACAGCAAGAAGAAGGGGGGGCGCAACGGAGCACAGAAAGGAGGGGGAGGGATCCTCGAGGGTTTGGGGTTGACAGAGTGGGCTCAGCCGGGACAGGTGTAGACTTGAGAACGCGGTCAGAACAAAGTGCAGCTGGTGGACCATTTGAGGGCGAGTTTTTTCAAGAGGGGGAAGGAAACGGAAGGTCAGGTTTGAGCGATGGTCAAGGCGTGAGGCAGGGGCCTGCTGCAGGGCAGGGGACAAATCAAAAGGCGGAACGGGGTTTGGTGAAGGGCGGGGATCGGGATCTTGAGGGAGTGAAAGCGGAGAACCGCAGACGAGAGGGAGGGCGGAGTCCGGCCGATGCGAGTTGGAACGCGAAGGACGTGCTGTCGCAGCAGACAGAGATGCTGGCGCTGATGCAGAAGCAGGTGAGGGGTCGAACTCAATCAGAGATGTTCTTCCGCTTGACATTTGTTCGAAGTGCGTGTTGACAGTTGACCATGTTGAACGGTTGAACGGCTACTGATCGGATATGGAACAGCTAACTCGGATGGAGATGCTGTAAGGAGGGGGGAACTGTGCGTTGGGTATGAAGTTATATTGGGGCGTGCACTCACGGAACTTCATCGCAAAGAGGTGTACGATCCGTTTCTAGCCCAGGGTCTGCTGTCTAGCACAGAAGGTAGGTGCAAAAAGAGGTTAAGAACCCGTTATCTGGTAGTAAAGGAAATCTATCAGGGTCATAAAAGCCCAAAAGAAGAGGCCTTAAACATACGAAATCAGACTCTCGAAAATCAGCACATGCAGTACCAAGACGAATCATTGCGCTTTTACTCGAAATTGACACAAATGCAAACGCAAGCACTTCTTCTCTGCCGCCAGGTTGACCTCCTCCAAGCCCTCCTGGTTAAGCAGCAACCCGCTGCTAAAGCCGTCACCAACCCCACAACCCGGCCTGCTGTCACCACCTCCGCTGTCAACACCTCCTTTCTGCCGCCAAATCCGAACCCCCATTTCGATTCCCATTCGGCGGATCGAGTAGTAGCACGACGCCAGGTGGCAGAGATCGGGACAAACACGTCGCTTGCGTGGCCTGCCCCAACTCCCATCCCAAACGGCTGGAACTCTGTTCCTGTCCAAATCGCAACCACGGGAGCTGGGGAGGTATACTCACAACGGGGGGCAAAAGCAGGGGTTTTTCAAAACGACGAAGAGAGCGAAGCGTTTGAAAGGGACTTCTCAGAGGGCCAAAGGAGAATCAAGGGCAGAGGGAAGGACGGGAAAAGTGAGCGGCCGAGGGAAGGAGGGGTCAGCGAAGTAAGAGCAGAATCGACGGTGCAGCAGTTGAGCGACTACCGGACAGAATTCGAGCCCGACTTCGTTGCTGCTCCTCCCCAAGCGTACGGAATCGGGACTGCTCACAGGTCCGGTTTGGACGGTCGTTCCGGGACTGAGGTCAGCAAACCCAGGCAAACGGCGTCTGCTGACGTCAGCAAAGACGGGCGAGGGCATGCCTCAGAGCAACGTCCTGTGGAGCCGAGAGAAAGACCCGCAGGGCGGGGTGTGCGAATGGATGCTGCAACGGAAAGGCCTCATCTTGAATTTGGCACGGGCGGGTTTGACGGCGGCGAGCCGAATGGTAACGCCAGCGCCCAGCGGGGTGACGTCAGGGGCGACGTCATAGAGGGGGAAGAGCAGGGGTGGCTCAGCAGCCGGTCCTCTTCGGCGTCGTCTCTGGTGCTCTCGGAACTAGCGGCACCTTTGGAAAGAGCGGATGAGGATGGCGGTTTTGAAAGTCGGCGGGGGGAAGAAGAAGACACGGCGCATGCGCAACATTGGGAACGGGAAATGAGGGGCCATGGTACAAACGAGCGAGCAGGCGAATCGCTGTTACAAAGAAGGGAAGTGCGAGAACGAGATCTCGGAGGTGGCGACATCCATGAGAGGGAGCTCGGAGCTCTTCGGGACGGGTTAGCAGCAGTTAGAAACGAGACCGGAGGGGTGCAGACAACTGACGGAGGCCCTCCCAAAGCGGGAGCTGTTTCGTTGGAAGCCCTGAACGGTTTTGTGGCAGGAAGAAACGGTGGAAAAGAGAGGGACGTCGGAGCTAGGTTCTCTGACGCAGGGGTCCGCTTAGGAACTTCAGATCATCGACGAGTTCCCCGCAAACCAACGGGAAAGCTTGAAGGGGGAGGGGAGTTTGGCAGGCGAGGCGAGCGGGTTGAGAAAGCATTCCTCGGAAGCGGTTGGGGCGCAGGGGGCGGAGCACCGGTTCTAAAGGCGCACCTGCTTGACATCCCGCAGATCAAGTACGTGCCGCTCTCGGACGACGATGACAGCGAGGCCGAAGAAACAACCGGACGGTTTCGGACGGCTGACGTCTTGCCACGTGGCAGCTTTGCGACCAATGGGGGGCCACGTGACAGACTGGGACGTGAAGACGGGGGGGAGAGCGATGGCAAGGAGAGGGCGAATGGGGTGGTGCCACGTGGCGCCTTGCGGGAGCGAGGGGGTATCGAGAAGAAACGAACGGCTGAGCGTTCTGGGTCGGAGTTAACCCACGACGGGTCAACGTATCTGGTGGACTTGTCGGTGGACTCCCGGCGGTACCTAACCCAGCACGGTCTGTTGCAAACCCGCAGCCGGCCGCCAACTCTGAAGCCACTGGAAGAGGATCGGGTTTTGCGAAACCAAGATCCGGATGACAGCCTAGAAATGAGCGAGAGGGGTCTTGAAACGGGTATCGACTCGTCAGTCTGCGAAAGGGGAGGAGTTTGGGGCGAAAGCGGGGGAGGGGTTTGGGAGGAGCGGAGTCGGGTCTTGAGGGCCGCTCAGATTGAGGAGTGCGACTCCTCGATGTTTCTCAGCGGTACGGAGGTGCGGCTCGCGGGGGCGGCGGAAGCGCCACCGTTGTGGGCGACCGACTCGATGGCTGAGGTAAGCACTACACGCAGCTTCTTTGTGTTCTTGGCCGATGCTTATGGGTTTGCACACGTCTTCTAATTTGGGTCTTGATGGACATCTTTGCGCTGTTGGTGCTTTGAGCCTGAACATGATCTTTTCTCTGGGGAGTATGCGTCGGTGAGAGTTTCGTAGGACAGGTTGAGGAAGCAACGCTGGGGTTGCTGCTCGGAAGTCCCTCTGTGTTGTATTCTGAGGCTGGACGCAACCTTTTCTGGGCGGTTCACTTCCTTGAAGAAGATCGTAGAAATTGGGGTCGAGATAGCAACGCTGAGCTTGCTTATTCAAGAACTTTTTGGGGAAGAAGCGGGGAATCAAAGTCTGTCTCACAATCTTGAGAGGCGTTTCTATAAGTCTGAACTTTCTCCTCTGCTGCACCGTTTATCAACCTGGCCCCCTTCATCGGTTGGTCGACTCAAATCTTTCAACCTTGAGTGAAACTATTTTTTGTCGGCGCTTTTCCTGCCTATTCATCAGCATATGCCGCCTTGCGGAAGATGCTCTGTTGTGAGTAAGGCAAACCGCCCACATTGACTCCCTCTTCTTTTCTCGCAGGGAAGCACCCTCGCTGCTGACGTCAGCCGCCCCGGCAGCACGCACTCGGCCGCGCCGCCGCTTGCGGCGGAAGCCTCGGGGAATCTCCTCGAAGCCGTGCGGCGCAAGAGGTTGCCCAAGCTCAGGTAGTGCCACGTGGCGCCCCCATAGCGCCCGCAGAGTAAAGGCCCTGTTTCGTGGCCGCTTGTTGAGCTGGCACCACGTCACGGAGTGCGCGCGAGCGACCGCGCCCCGGGGCAGGCCATGCAACGGACCGGTGCCACGTGGCGCCCAGGTGGCGTGCCGCCTGAACCGTTGAGGGGCGCCGCAACCGCCCACGTGTTGCGCCCACGAAAGATCTGCGCCGATCGCTCTGCGTTCGTCTTCAAACGGGAGAGAGCCGTTTCCAGGTAAGCAAGCTGGTCAAGCGGTATGTCTGGTGCAGAACGTCACTGAAAAGGTCTAAGATTCCCGTGTCTTCTTTCGTGAGGTGGTTTTTGCGGGCTGCCGCGCGTTCGTTTTGCCGCTTTGCGCCATGCTTGGTCGCCTGCGTGAAAAGTAAGATTCGGCCAATCCGGTTTCGAGCCCTTTGATACATCTGATTGTGAGCATTGGTACAAATCAAGCGAGACGGTCAGCGTCGCATCACCCTGCTTGAGAGTGGGCGGCAGCTGATTGTTCTGTTTCATTTCATTACTAGACCCTTTTCTTGGGGTCTTAGGAGGCGTCTGGAACAGGTCCCGTTTCTGTGTTTTACGACCCCAATCTTGTTTGTAGGTGGAAAGGGTTACCGTTTCGAGAGCAAGCATTCTCTAGGAATTACGACCATTTACGTGCGCCTTTTTGACATATTCTTTTCAGGAGACGGACCTGGAGTCGGGATGTGGCTGCATCGTAAGGATGTGCCTACGAGGCTACGGCTTGAGTCAGCTACCAGAAACAAGGTTGCACCCTAAAGGTTGAAAACGGTTTGTTTGAACTTTCCCTTTGCTTCTGCTTTGCCGCAAGGCGACAAGTCACGGCAGGTAGCAGTCGCAACAGCTCCTGCGACAGTATCGTAACACTGGCGACACGCAAAGATGGCATACGAAAATGACGAGGACAAACCACCACATGCTCCTAGCGAACCCGAGGGGTGCGAGCTCATAGAGTCGGTGACGCGCAATGCACCCGCATAGAGTTACTCGTATGCAAGCCACGTCTTGCTATGGTAAAGCCATTAGGAGGTCAAAGAGACCGAAGGACGTATGGCGTTCGAAAGCAGCCCCCCTTCTTCGGGATGGATTAGCATTGCAGCAAGCTGAGCGGGCTAGCTGCAGATGCACAATTTCTACAGTAATTTGTCGTCGTGTTTTGACATCGCATGCGCACACTTTGGCAGTAATCTCGCATGCAGCGTGCAGTGGATAGCATGCAGCGTTTTCGCGTGTATTGCCATTGATGACCCAGTTGACGCCATACTGAGTACCTTGAATACCGCTGTATATACCTCGATGGGCATGCGAAGTATAATTCAATATCAAGTTAATCACAGTCTAATTAATAAGATATGCAGACCGATCGCATAGTGCCTTGGACCTGCGCCGCGGCTTCTAATTCTAACATGCACCACACATTAATGCATGTGTAACAGATAATTTCCGGCCGGCGCTCATGCATCATTGATCATGATAAGCCAATGGCGTTTGACTACGGCGCATGTTTGATTAAAGAGACCATTCAAGATATCGATCAAGATTCAAGATTCAAGATGGATCATTACATCCGGGTAACTGAGCTCTAAGGCTCAATCCGCGTGCAAGGCAACCTTGTGTAATCGAAATTTGATCAAGGCGCTGCATATATTGTAACTTTCAATGCAACGCCTCCGATATGCTATAGCTTAGTAGGCTGTGGATTATAAAATGAGGTCACCCGTCCGGTCTCCTCGAACTGTCACTGCATACGGCACAAGGCTTGGCGGCGCACTAAGTTCGTTGCGATTCATATGATCTTTCTTATTCTCTGCTTTGCACGCGCTACAACACGTAGGATCTACCGTATCTTCCAGAACGTTCACTCAATTCTAGCCGCTGTAACCCCGCCTCTTTGCTACAAGGACAATCTTGTACCTTGAAATGTTGTACCAATGAGAATGCAAGACTCAATAACTTAAGCGTCCGGTCAGCTCGCCGTTTTCGAAAACTTCATCTGTCTTGCTTTCATCCTAACTGCTCCACTCCACCTCTGCCTAGGTGTCAGGAGGGGCTACGACCCGTGTCAGTCAACAATTTCAATTCAGTAGGTTGCGTTTGTGGTTGGTTCAAGCCCGGTTAGCGTGACAGGGTACATCTTCGTGTTGATTGCCGGCTCGCAAGCGTCCCCAAAGTGGATGATGGGCAGTTGTATGGTCCCGTTTAGGAACGGGATGTATCGGTCCTGGTTATCTTGCTTCCAGATGATCATTTTCTCAAACTGGTCGCCGCAGTTGTGAAGCGGGCACGAGGTTTGGTTAACCAGGTCGCAGTTGACATGCTGCAAAAAGGTTGAGAGATGGGTTGGCGTCAGTAACTTAAATCAAAGGAAACGATGCGCACGTCTCAATGTTCATTGGGCACTTTTTGGAAGTAATTGCTGGCGGAGTCAACCAGCCGAAATCTGTTGTTGAGTTGTCAATTCCACACAGCAGAATCGTGAATAGGTCCACTGGTCGCTTCCATGAGTGACACCTGGCTGCCTGTGAGAGCTACTCGCCCATAACAAAGGCTTGCAGCTCCACAGCGGTTTGTGAAATCATCGGATGCTTAGAAAACCACCTGCGGTTCACTCATTGCAGTAAGCTTTTGAAAATATCTGACTTTCAGAGACCGATTAAGAAGATTCGGATTTAAAACCTTGGGCACCTGGGGGAGTTGCGCGCGACATTGATGCGCTTCTCAAGGCAGCTTCTTTGAGATAACCAGCCCGATTAAGAGATTTATCACTTCAGGCTTTGTATAACTCTGCCACTCCTGGACACATCCATTCAGACTGCGCTCACAACTGCCCCACATTTTTTTCACAAGGGTCAACTTGCCCAAAGTAGATCGAAAAGCGTGAGCAGACTTGCTTAAGGCCTGCCTAGAAAGAGTGGGCAATATTTGCAGGCAATCTTGCAACTCTGATAGATATCACCGCTAAAATTTGATGCAAAGAGTCTCATGCAGAAGGCAGTCAGCAGTTACATCAAGACTCATTCCAGGGCACCTTAGTCTAACAATCTCACTTGACTTATGCAGCATTAGGAAGATATTCAAAAAAAGGGTCTTCCGTTGGCTGCATCTAAAGTGCCCCTTTTGCATAATTTGAGCTCATCGGACCAGGTATTAACCGACTTCACAGCAAAAAGGCGAAACCTTTGTGCCAGCAACACCCACAAACAACAGAACCACTGGTCTGCACTGAACGCTTGGCATCCTGCCCGATGTCTATAAGCTTGTTCCTACATTGAGCGGCGCATCCCTTGTGGAAGGTGCCCCAATGCTCTACTATCCAACAAACAGGCATTTGCTTAAAGACCTGACTGATTGATGGTTCGACTGTGACATGGATGCTGTGATTGGCTGTGGTTTGAAGGCATAAGGCAACTAGCTTTGACTAAAGAAGTCGGTGTCAAGAGCAAACCAGAGCTGAGCTAAACCGGCTGAACAAGTCACTGTCAACAGAATCGTGATTGATCACATCCCTTCAAACAAGAGATCCCACTTTGATTGACCCGGTTCTCAGACATCGAATTCAACAATGCCAGTCATGCCATCAATCAAAGTGGAAATCAGACGAAGTTTCGATTGATGTAAGTGGGTCTCGGGCGCTCACCTGAATGGACTCCATCGCTTGGAAAACAGGCCCATTGCCACAGAGGAGGGACTCCCCAGGTCCGCAAAGAATCCGCCGCGACCGCTGCGGGTGGCGCCGCAAAAACAGGCGGGCGCCCATCATATCGCCCGGGTCTTCCGTCACCGGCGCAGGCTCCGTGTCAAAATAATGCATCAGCCAGTAGAAGAAGTTCTCCATCGTTTCAACGTCCCAGAGCGCGACTTGTGTCGTCCAGTCGAATGCCGAGACCCACCCCTCGGGGAACCGCGTGAAGAAGGAAATGTCTTCGTAAAGGCCGACGTCGTTGTCGAGGAAGAGAGCTCGTTGGTAGCCCTCCGCTCGCAGGATCTGTGCCGCCATGCCGAAACGCGTGTACATCAAATCCCAGAAGCAGGTCGTGATGTTGAGCCGCTTGCAGTACGCTTTGTGCTTCTGGTCGAACGTTTTGAACAATGGGCCCTGTTCCAGGTCGTCAATCCACCGGATGTTGATCCGGTACGTCCCCAGAAGCGTAATCATTTCAGGGTGCCGCGTAATGACCTCCTTCGGCAGCAGGAAAATGATAGGCGCGGTGGGGTTCGAGATCCGGGCCACCAGCACTGCCTTTAGGTAAAAGAGGTCCCCGAGCGGCGTTCCGGGGGGGAACTTTGTGTAGGCAGCTAAAAACACAATGGCCGTCCCCTGGTCCCCCCCAGATCTGCACTTGACCCCGTTTGCAAAAGGCCGGCCACAATGGTTGCTGATGAACCCTTGGAAGAGGGACGAGTCGACGCTAGAATAGATTTGCGCCTGTCGGTCTGAGGAGAAGGACAGCCGAAGGGGGAGTTGCGAGATGGCAAAGAGAACCAAGCACATTGCGCAGACGCCCACAAGGCTCGTCGGCTTGGCCGCCCGCCCCCACGCGTCTCCAAAAGCGGGCGCCATTCTGAGATCTGGCGCCCCAGTTCCCTGCCCCCCTGTGTTTTCAGAGTCTTGAACAACTTGTGTCTTTTGAGTCCTCATTCCCCGAAAAAGCAGCACCTCTTTCACCCCACAAAATACAATGCCAGCAGGCGACAGAAGCGGGTGGTCTTTCTTCAGCTCTCTAGAATGGCTTCGTCGTCTGTAGTGCAAATGCCGTGCTGCCAGCCAACGACAGATCAGATGAAATGCTGGAGCCTGGGAATTGGAGTCGGGTTTAGCTAGCGACAAACTTCAAAAGGCGACAAATGAGGAGGCACGCTCGAGCCTCACGTGCGCAACGGGTCGACCGTACGCCATCTTCGTCGAAAAGTGTACGGATGGAACCATGGTACATACCTATTCACATAGGTATACTTGACTTGTCTGACGGAATCCTGATTCTCTGGTTGCGGTACCCACTGGTACACAGGTTGCCAGATGGCAAGCTCTCCGCGAAATTGTAGAGATTCGAATCTTAAAATGTTGATAGCCCCTCCATTCTCGAAAATTAATGTCAAAATAGGTAAGGTATGTCAAAGTTGCCCGATGCCCGCAGAGAACATGACGGGTGCAATGATCGCATTGAGTGATCACTCTAGCCTTAGGCGCATTCACTGAGTCACGTGCAGGACCAGCCTTCTACCTAGGACCAGTAGGCCGCGCGCAGGCAATGCGTATCTAAATGCAAAAACTGGGTATGATGGACCATTGAGGGTCCACTTTCGAGCCAATTGCTCATGAGTCATGAACTTATGACTGAAGTTATCGATCACTCACATTGCATTGCCCGGCCAGCCAGCAGTAAACAAAGACCAATTGTGAACACGGCACCAGGGTTTAAGCTGGAAAGCAATGTACCATGTTAGGAAACGGTCGGAGGCCTGTCATTGCTAGAAGGCCAGGTTCGATCAATGGTCTGATCATAATTTCATAATTGGTGCATAACTTAACAGCGAGTGGCCCAAATATGCCACAACGAGCCACAGTCTGGAGCGGCTTCCCCTCTGATGGAACTATATGACATTCGCAATCTGCTCATTCCAGATTTGCCCACCTTAAACAAAGTTGGAGAGATTTCTAACTCAAACCTTTCATGTCCGCCCATTCATTTCAGCGCCTCACAGCCCATTTGCATCCGAAGAATATGGATGCTGAATAGGATGTGTACCTGAAATGGCACTTATCTGGCCGCAGAACATCGTGCTCAAGATGTCCTTGAGCACGAGAACATGTTTCCTTCAAATCGAATATTACTGTTGTTTAGACGGGTCGATTTCTCTGTAAATGACAGGGCTACATACTTATGCAAGTATTTGCGACATTGCAAACATCAAGACCGACTCCCATGTATCAAGTGTCATCACATCTGTCGGCCAACGTCCTGCCTTAAGCTTTTCTTGAGCGCTTGTAAGCCACAGGTTCCGCTTCTTCGCTGCCACCTGCGCTAGCACTGGCCCCAAGGGGTGATTGGCTACCTTGGGTTGGTGCCTTCCTCTTCGCGTTCATGTTGATGGCCAGCAATTCTTCATCTTCTGCATCTTGATCTTGTGTCTGCAAAGATGCAAAAAGTGGAGAGCAATGAGAAAACTCGACAGTTGGGTCCAACCAATCACGGGAGGCTTCTCAGCCTACCACTGAATACAAACGCGGTATGACAAAGTCCATCTCAACAAGGAAACGCTGTGCCACAACCGTCAGCAGCTTAGCGGCTTGAAACCAAGAATCCACGAACAATACACACGCCTCATACCAAGGGTTATGTCGACCAGCAACAACTCTCAGTCTGGTGCGTTCCTCTGCGCCAGCTTGTCGAACCAAGACAAGCAGGGAGCTGGAACTGCAGACTTCCTTCGCTTTCGAGAGGCCACGAAATTACCGAAAGTGAGCCTATCACCAACGCCCCCCAACGAGACACGCCTCACATGTTGCGTGGCATCGTAATAAGCTTCTTTCCAACGAACATCGATTGCAACACAGAACGCGAATTTGCATTCAGCACAGAAAAATGTTCTTTATTACAAAAGACTTGTGTGCACTTGCAAACGGGTTGCATCTGAACATGCACGATTGTGGAGTGAAAGTCCGGGAATCCTAATTCCGCGTCCCTTACCGGAGCGTCAGACTCGCCCGCCTCCTCCTCCGTCTCCTCGCTGCCAAAGAGCGGCTTCATTTGCGGCCGCTCCGCTTTCCGCCGCGTGGGTAGCTGCTCCTCGGTTGCATTGTACGAGCCGAACTCGCCGGTGCCCTGTGCTTCTTCTTCTTCTTCCTCGTCGTTCTCGTCGGGCTTGCTGGACGGCTCGTCGTTCTCAATCTCGTCTTGTGTCTCTGCAAAGAACGGCGAAGCAAAGTCGGATCGTGTCCATTTCAGCCCTTGTCCGACGCCCGAACACGTGAAACCAAAAAAGGTATCGCCGGTTAGTCAGACCGCTCTTTGAGTGGAAGTGGGCGTCATAAAAAGATGGTGCGTGAGATTCGGTGGAATGCGGAGAAGGGTTGGGAGAAGAAGTAAGGGAGGGCAAATCTTGCTTCTCTGACCCGGGCAGCCAGCAGACTAGGTCCGACTCAGCTCATCAGCATTCCGAAGGATCAATTGGTCAGAATCCCTGGAAATTGCAACAGCGAGTAATGAATAGTTCCCCGTGACGGCGGCAACTAAAGCTTCTGGATCCTGTCAGCTGGCCCGACTGAGGGACAAAGTGCTTCAGGAGCTTTGTGCTTGATCTAACAAGATTAATGGCAGACTTCCCGCCTGCGAAAGATCTCAGAGTCCAGGCAAAAGTAATTCTTTGTATGTTCTTTGTATTTATAAGTCAGTCTCGCCGACACAACGCCCATGGACATCTTCCGACGAAATAGTATGATGCCACCCTTTGATTTCAAGGTGGATCCCCGCAAACAAGTTTAGCGACTGTGAGAGCGAGAATGTCCAGTGAATTTTGCCCCCAGGAAGGAGCTCACAAGCACACCAAACGTGGACTTTCAGGCATTGAACTGCAAAGACAGAGGGACTCTAAGAGCGCATTTCGCTCACCTTCCACCTCTTTCGCCTTGCCCTTTTCCCGCCGCTTCCGCGCACTCTCCTCGTCCTCTTCCGACTCCTCCGGAGCCCGCGTCTTTTGGGCGCTCTTGCGTTGGTACTGTGCCGCGGCGGCACCGCTCGACTTGCGCTCCCGCCGAGGGTCCCGCAAAGGCTGCGTCTCTTCCTCTTCTTCCTGCTCCGTTTGGTCGCCTGCGTCGGAGAAACAAAAGAGATTTCGTCCACTCAATCATTGAGCTTTTCGGGTGGCTGACTTCTAGTGAATCTTGATACCGGGCGACGAACTCCGCGGATTCAATCCTCGTCTTCTCGTGGTTGCGCAGTGGGCTACTGAGAGCAAGGGAACCATTCACCGACGTTCGACGGGCTGTGCATGCGCCTCTTAGTCGCCCCTTCAGATTTTGAGCTTTGCGAAACAACGTTTGTAATGCCGTAGGAGACCATAGCTTGACTAGTTTAAAAGCCAGGTTGCTGAAAGCCATCACTCGAGTGTTCTCCTTCTGCATCAGTGTCTAACAGTTCTGGGCTGCCTTTCGAGCCCAGCAAGTAGAAGAGATTCGACCGGAGCTCACCAATAAACCTTAACAGTCGATGATACTCAAAAAAGAGGGTCTTCGAAGAAAGAAGGAAAACAAAGCAGTCAGAAAGAATCAGTCGCTGGCTAACCTGGCGTCGCTGGCCCCGCCCCGCTAGGCTCTTCTCCCGACTCGTCTTCTTCAAACTCCAGCTTGCGTCCATCGGGTGATTTCCTCTTGCCCTTCGCTGCGCCCGCCTTCGCTCCGCCGTTGTCTGCGCTCTTGGCCTCGAGAGTCTCCACGAAGTTGTTGAACGGCCGCCACGCGTGCGGGTTCTCCTCCTTGTCGACGTCGCCCGCACGCGTGTTCGCCTCAGCGATCCTGCAGAGTTAACGGAGTGCTGAGTACAGATTGCTTTGCCTTCTGTCTTGTGCGTTGCTCGTGTTACGACCGAGAAGGGCTCGGATCTATCGGGATGTCACAGATTGAGGCAGCTATCCTTGATCTCACTGGACCTTCCAGTGGCTGATGACGAGAAGAAAATGATTCGGTTACGTCGCTTGTTAAGGCTCACTGGTCGAGTACCTCAAAGACGAAAGCTATTGAGAGTCAATCAAGTCTTCCTTCTGGTTAAGACGAGGAGGACTGAAGATGACTCACAAACTTAAATGCTGTTCGCGAGATAGGACAAGCGAAACAGCTTCGCTCTCAAGTTCGAATACGCCGCAGTCGCTGTTATACTCGAAATGCCGTACTAGAAAAAGAAAGGGGGATGCTGGATGGCAAGCGGAGGCTCAAATCAAAGTAATCTGGTCAACGTAAAAGAAAACAAAACCGAAAACGGGAAGTGAGGTCTCCACTTACAGCGCGCGCATGTCCGCCGGCTCCAGCTTCACCGCAAACAGCACGAGCGCACCCTCGAGGAACGGCAGCGTACGCGGGACGCTGCTGAACGCGTATTCCATTCCGCCCTTGACGATCTTTAGGATCGCCGGCCGCAGCTGCGCTTTGGCAAAGCTGGCGTAGACGGAGGAAATGCGGTGCGCCAGGTCTTTGAACTCTTTGAATGTGGGCTCTGACGCGTAGTCGTCGTCCTCCGTGGTCGCGCCCAAGAAGCGCTTGAACGCCTGCGAGGGGATTGGAGAAAGGAAGTGAGCGTGTAGTGAAAGAGTCAAGCGTCTGCACGTTTGCAACAACCGTGGAAAGTTAACGTCCTGAAAGGGGAATGGGAGAAGCCGTCAAGCTGAATCTGGTTAAGGAAGAGCGTCGCCACATCGAAAACGTTTGATAATTGCAAATGGCCAGACACAGCGTCGGATCGTCTGCGCGCTCGCAGAGCATTCGAGCTCCGCGCTTACATAGGACCTCCCTTTGCTGGCTTGGATGATTGTCGACACTGTGCAACTTAGCTCCAGAGCGCCCCGAGATGGACGTCTCCAGTTGAAGACTTTTAGAGACAGACTGGTTACAGGCGCCTCCGACATTTCTGACGAACTCTCCTTACGCTTGAAAAGTGCACTCGAAAACATCAATCTCGTAAAGGTCTTACAGATGGGAGAGGAGTCTCAAGAGATAAGTTATGACCAGAAACGAGCATGCCTTCTGAAAAAGCACACACAGAGGCCCTCACCCGCTTGAGCGCCTCGAGGTACGTCCGCCACTGGTCCTCGGAGCGGCGCGTCATGGCCTTGATGACGTCAGCGGTGGGCTTGCCGTGCGACACGAAGTGCGACACCAGCTCGGGGGCGAGGAAGTCCTGCGCAGGACCCGGGGATCAATCGTCGTTAGCAGCTGGTATGAGTGTTTGCATCGTGACAGACCCTTGATTGCGAACAGCTGTCAGGAAGGGTGGCAGCGACTCGGAAGTAGGCAGTAGGAAGTAGGAAGTAGGCTAGGCACATGTCAGGTTTGAACTGTGTGCTTCTTCGGCAGATTCAAATTTCAATATGCACAACGGACAAGGCAGCGGGCATGGTCAGTTACATCAGACAAACCGCATTGTTGCAAGTCAGGTTTTTAGAGCTTGTGAGAACAGGGCTAGGCCCGGCAAGACAAAGCTGGCGCTTACTTTCTTTTGCCTCGTCGGAATGACAGCCCAACTCCCGACCAACTTCAGGACCAATCTTGAGAGAAGCAAGATACCGAATGGTACTGACTGCGTTGCCTTAAACGGTTCTGTACAGACAGATTCGAGAGAAACATGATGGTGAAGTGAATTGAAATGCAGGACTTACCTTTGGGACGAGGCTCCATTTGAGCAGCTTGGCGGCGGGCAGTACTACCTCGTGTTTCAAGCTGTCGTCACCCTCGCCAGCGACCTGCTCCTCGTCCTCGTCGATCTCCTCGGCTGGAGGGAAATGCGTGAGAGGATTTCACGAAAGAGCCGATGCTTAACATTAGACTCGAACGATTGCCTTTGCTTAGTGCTGCAAAGCCTATGGACGAGTTCGGTTTGCTGGTCCGCATGCACCATGGTAATACACTTGTCACAGTACCTGGTAACGTCTACCCAGCACCCTCGAACATGTTTTCCTTGTGCTTGTTTGGCCATATAATGCCTTCGCGTTCTTCTCAACAAGCATCCGCTCCCGTAAGATGGACAGAGTCTTTGCCGCGAATAGAGGACAACAATGAAGGAGCGTATCTCCTGTAGCATCTTATTGGGATCCTTGCAACCTCCAAACGTACGGGAAGAATTTTGTGTCTCGATCTGAAGCGAATACTTGAGTAGCACAAAGAAGCGATGCTTCATTTAGCGTATCGTCGAACCCGGAATCCTGGAGTGTCACGCTTTCCAAAGGAACAAACAGGTTAAACATTCACACCTGCAGCGTCCAGCCTCTTCTCTGTCAGGTCCCAGAACTTGCGCACCAGGCTGTCGGACGGCGTGTAACCAAGCCGCTCAAGGTTCGTATCCTTCAGCTTAGCTGCGCTGAAGATCGCCCACGTGTCTGCCAAGATGTCGCATACCTGCAATAAGAGACCCGCTCTAAGCCCGCACTTTCCCCCATCGTGGTCGCCTTTAGCGCTCTCAAATGGTTACAGTAAAGACGACTTTCAGAAACCAGCATGCTCCTGTTACTTGCATAATGGTTCGTTCTTAAACGTGCATCTCTTACAAGCTGCATACTTATTTCACTCAAGTCCCCACCTAATATGCTCATTTAATTACGTTCTTCACCATCCGCAACATTAACTGCTTGTCTGAAAAGCTTTCTCCGCTTCAGCAATTGCAAGTAAACCGCGAGACTGAACGAGCCGTCACCTCTGCCGCGAGCTTCGACTGGAGGCTCTCCTCGCTCCAGAGCTCCAGCGAGTTGTCCACCGCCAGTTCCACCAGCTCAATCAAACGGTCCCGTAACTCGACCACGTGGGTCAGGGACTCGTCTGAGGGGCTCTTCTTGTCGAGTGCGCTCAGGCTCCAGGCGACTTGCAGGAAGATGAGGCGCAACGCCATGCGAACGACCTGAGCAAGGAGGCGAAACAGAAAGTAAGAATTACATATCCTTGACTTTAAAAGAGGACGATTTCTCGGTTCCCAGTCCGGATCTTAGGATCTTGCAGTGCAGAAGCACAGAGGCAGATTGAGGGCCATTAAGTAAAACAAGGGATGAACGACCAAGATTCTGATTGGGTCGGCAATACATTGTTTTCCTGTCATACCACGGCTAAAAGCCACACTGAAAGGTCGGGAGAGCCCAAAGGGTGCGCGGCTCAGATCTCAAGGTCTTGTACTGGATGGAGGTTCCCTAGGAACCAGGAGAAGGGAAGTTGAAAAAAGGAAATAAGAGACGTTCCGGACGCTTACATCATCCTCGAGTCCGTCCACTTCGTCCAGCAGCTCCAGCACGCTCTGGTGCACGCTCTCGTCCGACGGGCGGTGCTCCGCGTACAGCGCTTGCGCTCGCGCCAGGGCCACCGCCAGGGAAAAGTCCTCCGCGGGGTTTTCGCTCTTCTGCAAGGTACATAAGGAGGCTGTTAGCGCTGATGATGCTCTGTAAGTGTTTTGATAGGTCAGTGCTAACGAGCAGCGTAGTGCGATTTCTGGTAAGCAGCGAAATACGAAGTCGAGGCAAAAAGAAACTAAAAGGCGGCTGCTACAAGTCACCCGTGTATTTCTTCCTGTGCAAGTGTAGATGAAAAGACTGGCACTCCATGACTCGTCAAAGAATCCAAGTGAGGCCAGTTCGCACGAGCAGCGTGTTGCAAAATCTACTAGGCAGCGAAAGCCTTCAATACGAAGTCAAGAAGAGAGAGCAGTTCGAAAAGCGGATGCTACGTGCTACCTAAGTATTGATTCCCCGTGTCTCTTGTTGGTGCATGAACGACCAACTCACGTCGTCGAGCGTGTGCTCTCCTTACAATTTGAATGCTTACAGACAGAAGTACGCCGCTTGCTTCAGCGCAGTCCACTTTGGGAGCCCAGAAAGCTGCAATCACCTTCGCTTTTTTGACGGCTGCCTTCACCCTCTTCACAGTCTCGGCCTCCACCTCTGACACCACCCGCTGCGCCCCGTCTTGCAGCTCGGCCTTGCCCTCTTGGACGCTATACTTGAACGCGCGGACGCAGGCGCGTAGAGTGTCCGCGTCCGTGTGCTTGAAGAAAATGTCCTTGACTTGCTGGAGCATCGAGAGGAACACCTGCGGCCGATGAACGACACGTGTCATGTTGAGGAACGGCCCTGAAACGCGCTCAAACCTGTGAAACCTTGTGCGTTATCGCTGCTCGACCCTAGGATTGCAAGCGGAGTCTCTATCGACTTAATGACGGAGCAAGGATGTAACCGGCTCGTCGTCAAGGTCACCGCAGATACGATTGAGCTCAAGAGCAGCGATTGCCAAGCAACCGCACTTTTTTGGAATGGTGTCCCTCTGGTTCTCTTTGCCAAAAGCGATCGATGCGGCCTAAGCATTCGCACTTTAAAACCAATCCTGGACGGCGTTTTGAATTCCAAATTCACATATAAACAACCTAAGCAAAGCTTGTCTTTGTCTCACCGGTTCCTGGCGCTTGAGCGAGTAGAGCTCGAGGTTGAGGTACGCAGTGATCTCGACAAGGTCCGCCACTTTGGCCTTGTCCGCCTGGAACTTGCGCAGCAGGCCGGGCAGCGCCTTCATCATCGCCACCGTCAGCTCCTCCTCCCTGCTCTCCATCGCCTCCTGCAGAAAGTGCGCGGGCCAGGTGAGTTCACCGTGCGGCTATGAGCCGGTGGGGTTGAAGATTTCTTCGCGCGGGCGGTTTGGATGGCCACGGGTTCTGTCGGGCACGGCGGACAGGTGAAGCGCAGACAGGATACAAGAACCTGCTCGTCGCACTGGCTCACCTTCCCTCGAACCTGCTTGAGTTTCAAGGTACAAGCTTGGATGATATTAGTCGTTGCACGGACTTGCACAACAGTGCTCTCAACGGCAGTGGGCGAGACTCCTTTCTGAGAAAGGACGAGATGGATAATCCTCTGAAGCGCATTTTGGCTCGAACTGAATCATGCATATCGTTCGATCTGGTCAAACGTCGTCAGAAGCCACATCCAATCCAATCCAGGACTCATATATTGGAGTTGAGACAGGAAAACTGACAACTCGATCACGAGGATCCAAAGAAAATGCAAAGCAATTTTGTTTCTCACCCTCTGGGCCTTGGTCAGGTGCGCTGTCTTGCCCGCAGTCTCCTTCACGAGCGACTCCCCGCGCACCTTTTTGACGGAAGCATTGAGTAGCCGGACCAGATTGGTGGCGTCAGATTCGGACAGCTCGTCCTTGGCCTTCTCGGTCTGAAGCAGCTTCGTAACCGTTTTCCAATCCTGCGAGGATGAATCTTCTTATCAAAACCTCTTTCAGCACAAGCCAACAGGAAGAATAAGAGAGAAATCTCATTCCGTAATCGCCGGGGGCTACAATGAGAATGCCAAGCTAAAAAAAACATCACACGCTCATCCAAAAGAAGACTCGCGAAGAGAGTAAGACTAAGATTTGAGTTCTGGAGAAACGATTGACCGTAAGAAAACCATTAGAAGTGCAATCCACGAGAAGCGACGGCAGACAAAGTGTAGAGAGCGCGGCTGAAAAGGCAGGCCACTATTTACGTCTTGACTGCTCAGAACGACAACACCGCATCCTCAACTGGGGCCAGACAATACTTCGTCGTTCAGTCAACAGTTGCAGTGCAGAACTTCTTCCTTTGGAATAGACAACTGGAGGGTCGGGTTGCTATTCCTAGAGCGGCTAGTCTGATAAATTCTCAATCAGGGGAAAGAGCACGAGGCCCTGTATTTCTGATAGCGCACCTGCAGCACTGGCGTCGAGTCCCAGAGTGCGTCCACCACGTAGCTGCACAGGGCCCTGTTGCCGGAAAACTCTGCCAGGATGTTCATTACCCGTTTGAGCTGGCCCTCGGGGGTCTTGCTCTCCTTTGCACCTGCCGAACGACGGACAGAAACGACCTTCAGTTTCGGGACAATAAGCCTGCTAGGGCCCAACCAAAACTTCAAGTACAGGAATCGTGAGCCGATGGCAATAGACGACACGATCTCTGGCTGCGTCTTCGAAAGGACATTTGAAATGGAGAGCCTATTTCCAGCTTTTGAAGAAAGGTATCGAATCACCAGAGGCCCGTATCCAGTGGACGCATCATCTCAAATCTCAGGGTGTCAAAGAAAACTCCACATGCAATCATGAATATACGTCTGACCGGCTCAGACTGTCACGTCACATAGTGCAACAACCCGCCGCTCAGATTTCAAAGACACCCCGAGGATTATGCGTGACTTTCGGTCGACGAGTTGCGACTTAGCCTATCAAAAGCCCTTGGTAACGTCTCGAGGCACTTTCCCAAGGACAGAATAAGCAAGTTCTAGCGCTCACTCTTGCCGGTGGGCGTGCTCCCCTGGACCAGCGTCTGCGAGACGAGTTGGTCGTGCACGAGGTCCCCCACGACGTGCCGCATCTGCGCCGACTCGTCCACCAGCAGCTCGTACAGCCGGCTCGTGTCCTGCTCCTCCAGTAGCTCGTGCCTGCACTCTCATTTTAAGCCGTTCACTCCAAAATATAACTGGGAGTGCTCAAAAGACGACTTCGATCCGTTGCGGAAAGTCAGGGAGTCGGTCCTTCCTCAGCAACCAGGGAAGTGCCGAAGTGGCTGAAGTCGCCGCTCAAATGGAAAGTTGGTGCAACGAAATTGTCGTCCTCAGGACTGGACAGATGCATCTTGAGTCTGACGCCAGTGACCGGTATTCTGAAAACTAGGGCCCACGACAGGCGTAGGCAACCCGTTATATTTCAGGCTGTTTCGTACACTATTTGAGATGTTCTAGAGGAGCTCCGAGAGTAGGTAACTGGACTTTGTATTGCTTACCATCTCGGTGGTTGCGTCTCTGGATTACCATTTTGCGGCCCGCTTGGACCGCAATCCTAAAAGCAGATGATGCAGAAACGGAGAGTAAACGGCGTCTGACCTGAGGAGCTCCTTGATGAGCTTCACGGCCTCGACCGCAACGTCCTCATCGATGTCCTCCGCCAGCTCGAGCATCCGCCCGCAGAAGCGCTGAGTGAAGAGCTCCAGCGACGCAATGTTGTCCTCCACCTCGTACAGGTTTCGCAGGGCGATCACCGCAGTCTGGCGGACGTGCGCATCCTGGAGGCATGGAGGAATCACTTCGAAGTGGACTCGTTTGCTTAGCTCCACTCTCGTATTTAAAGTGACGACATGTTAATCGAGTGGCTCGAGTCGGCGACTTCCTTACAATCACAAGTCGTCGCCTCGTGCTTGGACCTGTGATCGCTTCAAGAGACCAGCCTGTTCTCGAGAGAGACCGAGCTATTAAGAGACACCGCTCTACGAAGTCTTGCACACGTCCGGTGGAACTGCACCTTCAGGCTGTCAGGTCGTGAGAAAGTCCGCATTGTGCGCAGGTAACGAAGAGACCTCCGAGTGGCTTACTTTGTCGTTGAGCATCCAGCCGAGGTACTTTGTGTACAGATCCTTAAGGAACATGGACGGATACTCCAGAATCCAGGACCCCAGGGCCTCCACGCTGTTGGCCCGGATGAACTCATCGACATCGCGATACCGGTGCATGAAGACGCTGCACGCCAAACGGTTCGGCATTAGTTTTGCACAAGAATTTGCTTCTCTCTAGGGTTGATGATCGCAGCCTTCGCTGAGCTGTTGCAGGATCGCTCAAAACCGGAACGACCAATTAGCGTTCATAAGCTCGACAATGTAGGTGCCGTGGACAACTCTACACGATGCACGACTCTGCCAAGACAGGGCCCCCTTCACAAAAATTGACCACCACTCAAACCCGAAAAAGGTGTTTGGTCAAACACCGAAGGAGCTTTCTATGGTATGTTGGAAGCTTACCCCGTGAACAGTTTCCGCATCAGCTCCTCAGTCGCAGTAGTCTTCGAGTGCATTTCTTCCAGCGTCTTGGTCAGGTCGGCCACTCTGGATGCGTTCTTCTTCTTCTTCTCTGCCTGCAGCTGCCGCTGAGTGGTCTCCCTCAGATCCGTGCATGACTTGGCCACAGTCACCAGGGAGGAGACGAGCTGAAGACCAATCAACGTCCCGACCTGACGGAATGTCCTCACGCCAGTGCTGTAGAGAAGACAGAGTATGCTCCTGTCAACTCGTCTTGTTTCAAGGGTACTGTCAACGGGTTGACAACTCCCTGTCTGTAACGACACATGTCCTTTCGAAAGTGATCCGCTCGTTAGTATACAAAAGGCAGATGCATGACCATCTTGGTAAATCAAGGAGTTACCGAAATCCAAACAAGGCAAAGCGGAGAGGTAAGGACCGACCTCTCTTGATGACCCCGATATCATACAAAGCTGACGGGCTTGCCCCAACATCAATGTGCTTTCAATTTACAGTGCGAGATGCACAATGCTTTTGGGCATCATTCCAATCTTCATATACAGTGCCGGTTTAAGAAAGCCCCAACCTGGCCAGGCGCAACCATGGAGTTCCACAAAGGTCAATGTGGAAGTACTAGACAATGCATCTTGAGTCGGAAAAGTACAGTTTGATCGGATGACGCAGTAGAGCCGAGATTGCATGCCGGGCCTACCAAGAGATTGCGATGATGAAGCCGATGCACTTGTCGAACAGCTTCTCATCAAAGAGGATGTTGCTCTGACACTCCAAGACGAGGAGGTCCCAGAAGTCGAGAAGGTTCTGCCGAAAGTGCTTCAGCTTCTTGTCCTTTGAGACGAGGTAAGTCTCCACATGCCCCTGCAAGTGATGATAGATGTGTTCAATTACCCCGTCTGCCACCCCCTTCGAGAAAGGACGAGAAAGGACACGTTACGTCACTCAAATTCGACTTGAAACGGTGTCAGGCTCTTAACTTCAGGGGACTGAACATTGCATTGGACATTGCACAGATGCATCAATGATGGTGGAAAAGGACGACAATGAAGGATCACAATGGCCGCTATTAAATAGAGCCAGTTTCTGCAGCACTTTTGTCCTATGAGCAGCCTACCTCCTCCGCGGATGACACAACGTCCTTGATGAGATCATCAATGTCGCTCTCGTCCATTGGATCTTCCTCAGGGATACTTACGCTGCTTCCGCAAGCCTACATAAACAGGATAAGAACCAGTGAACATCTTTCAAGTGTGTGTTCATCGTTGTGCATACACCGTTAACCCTGGCATTATGCCTAGAAGATATATCTGAGCATGACAAGAGATGCCTCTTGAATGTTCCCTCGAAGGGGCACCTAATACAGATCTTGCATCTTCATCCTCACTGCATTTAAACAAGCATACACTTCTACATTCAAGGTTTACCCTGACCCTTATAGCAATCTTGATCCGCACCTAAGTCAATCTACGAACTCAGGGGCTCAGCGGAGCGGACAATGATCTTCAACTTGGAGCCACTACCCCTTGACGTGTAAAATTTTACCTGGACCAGAAAGGTTAGGAGCTCTGCAATCGCCGCCTGGGGGTTCCTTTCATAACGGCCCACAAATTGTCCGACGGCAGATGGGATTGCTGCGCTCTTTTCCTTCACCACATCTGGTAAAACGGAAAAAGTGTATGTTTTAATGCTTCCATATCTGCAAGAACGCAGCTGCCGTACTGAGGAATAGCCAGATCAGGCAAGGCGACCAAGCCCAGTTGCACCTGACATAGACCTGAACGCTCTAGTGCATTGTAAGAGACCAGTATACTACTGGACTGATTACGGTACTTACCAAGGAGTGTTATCCCCTCCAAGCCGGGCGCATCTGATTTCTGTGCCTTTGCTGCAGTCTCCCCAACCCGCTGCTTCTTCTCTGCCCCTCTTGCTGTGTTGGGGTGGGGAGGTGGCTTGCGCTTGCTTGTTCCAGGAGCCTCTGTCTTTGGAGTGGAGGCCTGTAAAATCATTCTCTCCTTTAGAAAATGTGTGTCATGGGTAACTCCATCTGCAGTTCATTCCATATGTCACAGCTACCCGCTACAAAAGTTGCAACTTTCCAGTGCACATTGCACAGTCTTTCATAAACTCCTATGCCTTCTGATGAGATGTTGGTAATCCGGACCAGTGGCAAGTCGCCAACGACTCACTTCTGAGCAGGACTGGCAACCTCAAGTATGCAAGTAATGGAAGACAGGCTCTAATCCTACTTATTGGTCAACACTTTTCCTGATAGCTCGATGAAGACTCTTTCGAAAAAGTGGCATAAAAGCTGCATTGCAAACAAAAACCAGAAGCTAAGGTCAGACACATGGGAAGGTACCCTACCTTGCTGGAAGATTTCCTTCCTCTTTTGCCTGCCCTTCCAACCCTGGCTCCATTGTCTGTTCCAAAGTCCAACTCATCACCGCTATCAGACGCCTCCTCATCTGATAGAGCTCTGCAGCCAGGTAATCAAGCAAAGGTTTCTGTGTTTGATAGTCTAGTAACCTGGAAGAAAGTAGGTTGAGCATTCCGAGACTCGTCTCTGCCCAGACTCCTTGATATGACAGGAAAACAATGTCACATGCAACATGCACAGACTTTCGAAGCACAAAACCTATAAAAGGCTGCGGCAAAAACGTGCTACCATGTTCTCCAGACAATCCTGCTGCCAGCACGAATGACCACCAGAAGCTCTGGGTGATGAAAACCATCGGACTCACTCTTGCATTGATTTGACATTAGTTGCAGCAGCACGGGTGCTCCTTCTGAGGTCCGCCATGATTCTAGAAGACCTTGTGGTCCAATCCCTTGTGGGTAAACTGAGTCAACTTCTTTCAATGACAAACTGTACCCAGGCTCTCTTCCCTTCTTGTCGTATCTGCCGCATACAATTTCCTTCTACCGTAATTCGGGCAGCTGCAATTCCGCTTAGCTGCAGCACATGAAGATTGGAAGCAAAGCCCCCACAATTAAGCAGACTCCTGGACCTCAGAAACCCTAGCTTGGCCGTGCCAGTTTACAACTCTTACAGGGCCAGGGGGCTGCATGAAATTACGGTACCGTATTGCCTGTGCTGCATGCGCCGTTCGCCGTCTTGCTCTGCAGCCTGCACTGGTGCTGCAGCAGATCCTGATCTCCTGTCCACGTTTCGAACATCAGACATGGCTGGAACTCCCCCAACGAAACACAGGTGGCAACATCGACGGTCGATAGAAGCTTTTGGTTGCTGATGTGGCACATCCGTCGGTTGGTATTGCCCCATCGTGGTCCTGCTGGCGGGAGCAGCATTTTTGGCGCGTGATTGCAGCTTCAAAATTTGAATTGGTACATCGGATGCTCATTGCTTGGCTCTTGAGGGCAAGTTGAGGCTCAGCTTGAGCCTTGAGCCAGCTTGAGTCTTGAGAAGTTGAGAGCTCTTGAGGCAGCTTCGCAGAAGCATTGGTCAGCCTTTCGAGTCTCATGCGGATGGCATCGCAGCTGCGTGTATAGCTGTGTATTAGTACATGAAGGACGCTTCCCCCGCGGTTCCTCATGTGCCTTATTGGTACCACGAACAGATTCTAGCGTGTATCAATCATGGCTAAAGAGTGGACGTTCTGAATTTCAAATGTTTCTACGGTTAGCCGCTGGCAGCAGACAATATTTGCACGTTGGAGTGGCAGTGGCGAGCCATCCGAAAAGTCCTAAGTGCAGTGGCAATTGGCGATTGAATCGCTGTTCGGAATTCAGGTGCCAGAGGGGAACCATTGGAGTTTTACCCCTTTTCACGCTGCTGAAAGTTTGAAGTTGAGTCAGAAGAGAGGTCAGCTGGCTGCAAAATAGCTTGTGGCTGGTCAGAGGGGCTCCCGGCAACCATGCAGTCTATCGGTTTTGAAGGTAGCACTTTGACGGTGCCGAAAAGTGATGCAGTGCACTTTGACTTCCGGAATGGGTCCCTGTTCCTCGTATGTAAGGCATTCACTGGGGAGGTGCAGCTTTCATCAAGGACTGGTGAGCGTCCAGCTGTGAACCATATTCAAGTGGAATCACGCAGGTTGCAACGTTTGCGTGATCGGAATGTTTTTATGCATCAATCGAACAGCAACATGAGGGGAGTCTGTTCAGACCACTTCCACAGTGGGTGGTAAGAACTCTTGCAAAAGCAGCTCAGAAGAATGAATCAATTGTGGAAAAAGCAGACGAAAAATGAATATCCAGTCTCGCACCCGAGTACTTGACTCAGAATCATTTCTGCATGATTTGGGGCTTTGAATGTCTCTTTCCCGGAAAAGAACACCTGAACATAAATCTTTCTTCAGGCGGCGCTTCGCCTTTGGACGTGGTTGAGAAGCAGGCTACCTCTCCAGACTGCGTGCTGAACCTCCCGTCAACTGGCAAGAAAGCGCATCAGCCAGCTTTGAAAACCACCCCGGAAACGTCAACTGACGAGGCGGAGGCGTCTGAAGAAGCAGAGAGCTCAAGACCGGAGCTTCCTCCCAGACTAGAGGACAGCCCTTCTGACTCTCAGGGGGGCGAGTCTCCGGCACCAACAGAGAGTGATGCCCCCTTGAAGCGGAAACCTTCCCTGAGCATCGAGTCAGCTGACGCCATCGAAGGGGAGATCCAGAGGGGTAACCCAGCCAAAAGGACGAGTTCGGCGCTCTACCCCCTGTTTCATAACACCCAGCCACGGGCTCCGTCGCCAAAGAGAAAGCTGGTGGTAGGAAAGGGGTGTCCTACGACCAGGAGAAGCACCGGGAAAGAGAACGAAGGTAAGCAGGACGGTGTTCTGCTGAGCTCCATTGATCAATGCAAAGTTGGGTGAGGCATTCTTAAGAGGCGGAATTTTGATTATCTGAGCATTGATCTTACCATCAAATTTGAGGGTATTAGGCATAGATGCGCATGCCAGAGCACCACTGTGCGCATTGGCTATGAGCAGACTATTCCAACTTGTTCCTTCTTGTGACAGCCGTGTAGAACTTAATAGATTGGGCAACAAGGAGACAAGAAGCTTGACTGGGCAGCCATCTTATGAACCCAGCTCTAGGCGCATTTGGTGAAACATCAAAGAAAGAATCATGTCTGATCATCATATTGGTTTTCTTCCAGGAGCTCCGTGCTCCTCAGGGCAGGATGCCGGAGTGCGGGTCGAGTGGTCCCTCCTGCAGCCCACCGGCCCAGTACCTGAGGCCAGATGGGGCGCCAGTGCCACTCTTATGAACGGCCAGCTGTACCTTTTCGGAGGCGCCAGCGACGAAGAGACTCTCTCTGACCTCTGGACGCTGCGCCTAGGTGAGTCAACGGTTCCACAGAGTTTGGAGAAAGTTGCCCTTGCCGAGGACTTATCCAGGTTGTAAACATGCGCACAATGTTCTGGTCCGCCATGTCACATGGCTTGCCCACAACCAATTTGACAGCTTTGAGTCAGTATGCGATTCGCTGTTGAACTTCATCGAAACCCATTCTGATTTATGCAATGAACTTAATCGATCTTCAACTTAGTGTTCACAATATCATGGAACAATCTTTCTCTGATCGCTTTTCATTACTGCAACGCCACACAAAGTCTGCCTTCTGTCCTGCTGCTCAGTTTGACGCCTTTCTCTGCAGATAATTGGACCTGGTCCCGTCCTTCAATTTCTCTGCCCACCACCCCCCGAGCATGGCACAGCGCCACGGCAGTGGGCCAGCGGCTGCTTGTGTTTGGGGGCGAGAGGACACACGCCCATGGTAACAGCATGAAGACGACATCATTCAATGATGTCAGCGTCTTTGACACAGGTACGGTGGTGTCTCTTGTTTTCCGAGGCAGAGATGTGGAAAATGCTGCCAACCCTTGACCAGAAACTCATGCAATTGAGATCTTGCTTTGCAAAGAACGAGCGAGTCTGCCGTCGTTGCCTCCGACTGTTCAACTGCAAGGATAGGAAGTGGTCATCTGGTCCTCCGAGTTACAAATTCATGACTGAGGGGATAACGAGCGTTTCGAATCTGCTCAAGAGGGATTCGGTCTCCCTAGCCAGAACAAAAGTATGTCACGAAGCACGGCCTTGCTGAATTTCGGGGCAAAACTGGACAATCCCTGTTTTCATCGACTCTCAGATGCTATGGTGTGGTTTGCTGCTCACACGACGGGTCAGCCACCAACCGCTCGTGCGGGGCACTCTGCCACAGCCCTGACGAACGGGCAGATCCTCATCTTCGGGGGCATAAGTGGGTCGAAGTGGCTCAATGACGCCAGCGTCTTGAACACAGGTGAGCATCTCGAAACCCTCACGAAGTCGAACCAACCTGTCTTTCTTGCAGTGCACTACTACTTCTAAAGAAACGCGCCGTCAGCTCTTATTTGTTGCATATGAAAAGGAGAGATGTTCTTTCGCTAGTGTGCGCCAAGGTTCACGAGCTTTGTGGGGCTGGTAGTGCCTGCTCTTCCCACGGTTTTTTGGAGAGACGCTCTCCTTGAAACCATCTACGATGCCGTCGGGCTACACTATGTGCGCACCTCATCCGGCCACCAGACTCCGGGGCTTCCTTTCTATATGATTCCTTTTTCTTGTACCATCATCAGTTGTCATTGGTATACCATTCGCTGTGATAAATTTTCAGATTACTTGATTTTCGTCGACTCAAAAGGTTCCAGAAAAACTTCCTTCCATTTTTTCGACACCCAGGTTCTTGGAGCTGGTCCCGGCCCGTTATCAAGGGCACCCCGCCCAAGGCCCGATGCTACCAGACCGCCACCCAGATTGGGAGCCGTGTAGTCATCTTCGGGGGAAACGGCAGCAAGCAGTGCTTCCGGGAGGTGCACGTCTTGGACACTGGTGAGGGCTCTCGACCAATATCTAAGAATTCCCGTTCTGTCTGGTGTCAACTCGGAGCCGACAGGTCGCCTTCACCCGACACCCGACCAGGCTTTTCGAACGAGGTAGCGTGAGTGCGTTCTGAGCACACTTCGAAGTAGGCTGAAGAATACCAGAGCCATTGCAAGCCGCTGGCAGTTGTGTCTTTGCTGTGACGCTGGTACTTGAACGAAAGGTCGGATCCGCAATATGTCTCTCGTACTTCTCGTCTGCCGTCCATAGCCAGAACGAGTTTTGTCGAGGCTAGCATTTGATACTGATTCCAGCGAAGGATGGCCTCGATTGTCCTACTGCAAACCGCAGGTCCCGTTTGAGGAGACTTCACTTGATCAAATACAGTGTTAGCCGGTGTCACGTGTCTTTCTAAACAGAGCCGTCAAATCCTTTCCTTGGAATACCGAATGGAAAACCTTTTCTCTGAAATCTCAACGTACAAACCTCTTTCCCCTAGTTCATGGGGCAATCCATGTCGATCGCTTATTCATCGGTACTGCAACTTGTCGTCACTTTCCACATTCCAAAAGACGTCCCGCTGTCCCCACCTTTGCAGCGTCGTGGACATGGTCTCAGCCGGAGGTCTCCGGTGAAGCCCCGAAAGCGCGCACGGGTCAGAGCGCGGTTGCGCAAGGTTCCCGGGTCGTGATCTTCGGGGGGTGGGACTACAGCGACTCGTACAGCAGCAGCAAGGTGTACAACGACGTGTCCGTTCTGGACACCGGTGAGTGGGCCGTCCGAAAGTCGCGGTCTGTCGAAGATGATAGCCCTTCCCGATCTTGCAAGATTGGGAGAAAGCGACGGTGCCCACTTGATTTGGGCAGCGTTTCGTGCATCTGATTCACATGCCTACAAGTATTTCCAACAAATTACACGAGTTGCAAGGAGACTGCGAATGTTTGCATTCACTGGAAGCTTCTGATTTGACGAGGAATCATAGTATCTCAACTCGTGAGAATGGCCGACAGCGGCTGCGGTCATTCATGAGGCAGATCAGCGCTTCGATTTTGACGAGCACGGACGTAATCATCCGAAGGTGGTGACTTTTCTGTCCATTCGCTTTATCAGCGCAGTTTGCAACCTATTCGACGCTCGTACGAAAATTGCAAATTCGGACCGACAGGCCAGGTGGAAGACTTTTCGTTATCTGGTGGCCCAAGAAACGCTGTTGTTTCTGTGTGGATGAGTCTGTCGCTGCCCCCGCTAAGTCAGATGTCCCTTACTTTCGTCCTTGATGGCGGCATGATCAGCCAGTGCCTAAGATCATACTCATAATTACGTGAAAGGAGACCACGGGCGATGACTGTCCAATCAAGTGCTTCCCGCCTTTTCTCTGCAGAAACTTGGACATGGATGCCCGTCCAACTGATGTCCGGTGAACAGCCCACCCCACGGTGCGGCCACGGCAGCTCCCTGGTCGTCTCCTCCGACGGCAAAAATGCCGTCGTCTTCACCTTCGGCGGCCAGATAGAAAGGGAAGAGAAGGTCGACGAGATGTACTTGTTGAGATTGGACGCTTGATGGACTTTCGACTTTGTGAGCCAGCGGTGGAGCACAGCGTCCAGTACGCATATAAAACATTCTCAAGCTTTCTGATTGAAGCGAATCTTGCGAGAACAAATCGAGCCGCCTGGAGCTTGTTAAGGCATGTTCGGATTTAAGCTCGATTAATATCTTGAACGTCACATGCATTAGAACATGCCACAAGCAAAGTTCAACGCTTGGCATTGCACTTGAGCTGAATGCGTGCCTTAGCGTAATTGCAAACGTCTCGCAAGTTGCAAACTTGCATGAGCATTTCATTCATGCTTTTAGTGAATTAAGTATCCTCTATCCAAGTTTAACCTCGTGGCCGGCTGTTTCTCATTTGCTGCCGCGCCAGAAGTGTAGTTAAGCGTACCGCACAGTCACGACACTTCCACAAGAATGTTCTCATGATTCCTCATGCATTCAGCTTCAATTACGGTAGTACCTATATCGTCATATGTGCATCTCGTCACTCGAGACATATGTCGTCTGAACCCCGTCTGAACATGTTGATTTCTGTCAATTGGCAAGAATATACATATGTATGTGATTTATCCATGATCGTGTATTTTTAAAAGCCGGGCTTCGCAAGCTCTCTTAACTTGAGGCCGCTTCTTCAACCTAATTGACTGAGCCGGCCCACACTCATCATCATTTATTTGGGACGTGTATTTCAACATTGGAGTGGGAGAGTGGGTACAGTTTCGAATAGATGGTTGCGCCAGGGTGCTCGGAGCGAGAGCCGCCGCCGGTCTGCCTACTGGATCCCCTTGGTCCATTGACCACCATGAGTATTAAGTAAGAATGTCGGACCCTAGCTAGTTTCGTAGCGGCAACCAACTGCGTAATCACCGTACCGCGTAATGAGAAGAGCGGAGGAGGGAGCGGGGGGGTGCGGGGGGGCGGCAGCCCCCCCGTTTTCAAACTATTAAAGCA